CAATGCCTTCTCCTCGCAATGCTTTTTCCACCAAAACACCTCTTTCTTCCAATTCTTTTTGCTTCACATCTATTTCTTCTAAACGTCTCTGAATTTCTTGAGCTCTACGAAGACGTTGTTGTTGTTGACGTTTTTGCTGTCTACGAGCAGCTTGTGCAATCTTTTTGGGATCACTCAGCTGAAAATAAAAGTCAAGGGTTTTAATTTTTTTCCTGATTTAAGGCTAAAATGGATATATATATATATATATATATATATATATATCCATATATATATATAATCATGGATAAGTAATCTTATTAATCCTAAAATATAAAATATTAAAACTAATCCACAACAGAGAGCTCAATAAATCATGACCTTTTCAAATTTTTCATGTCATGGTGTGCATTTTTGTAGGTCCTCTGAGTGCATGAGTTATTATGGTAAATGGAGGATTGATTGAATGATGATGGACAAGTTCTTTTGGTGAATGTGTTAAATTTAACAAGTGAATTGGTCACGAATCAGATTAGTTAGGCATAGGATAGCAGTGATGACCAGCCTCAGCATACAACCCCTGCTTTTTCAGCCTTGTGTCACAATTGTATATTTTTAAATAAATCTTGAACATAGAAATGAATTACATAAAAATGAAAGTCAATTGTACCCCATTTTTATGGCCATTTTGCTCCTTGGGATAAATTCCCAAGAGCTTGTCAATACTAAAATGTTTGATAAAAATTAAATCTAGATTAACTTATAAATTAATATAGATAAAAGCATAAAGAGTCCTTTTATAGAGGGAAACTTCAATAACAAATAACTAAGGACAACATAAAAAAAGCAAAAAAAAACACAACTAGCTATTAAACAGGTAAACAAAAGTAACATTAACTCATCAATATACTTGAAAGCATATAACTTATCAGATTTTAAAAAAGAGAAAGAAGAAAAATATCTAAAGAAAAATATAAAAATAAAATTAAAAAATTCTTATAATTCTTCTATGAAATCTAATTAATTAATTAAAAAGGGGGAAATATAAAAAAATAACTTTTTAAATAAACCTTATCAAGTATAAACACATATCAAAAACATTATACTATATAACTAACCCTTATATAATTATATAAATTGGAAAAATAAAATGGAATATATATATATATAAATTATATAAATTGGAAAAATAAAATGGAATATATGTTTGAATAAAAAACAGACCACATTAAGATTCCATGTAATAAGCTATTTCACCATAACCCCTTTAACAGGGTTCTGGGTCATCAGACTTTACTTCCAAAAAAAAAAAAAAAAAAAAAAAATTACCTAAGTTTGCATAAACTAAAATATATATATATATATTATATAAATTGGAAAAATAAAATGGAATATATATATATATATATATATATATATATATATATATATTAGAAGAAGAAATTTTATTTCTTACCTTGGATCTCCTTGAAACGGAAGTATCAGTGGACAAGAAACTCTCACCTGAATCAGAGAACTCATCTAATGGTGAGAAAAAAATACATTTAAGCTACCAAATAAAACTGCTTTGAAATAATAACCAATATTTATTTTTAATCATTATTTACATCTAAATAATCTTAAATTTTCATGTAACAAAACCTGAATGAAAGAAAATAGGAAAAATAAACAAGAAATGTGTGTAAAGAGATAATAATAATTCATAATTTTAAACATTATTCTTCATGATAAAATAATTACATAGAAAAGAGAATTATTTCTGAGAAAGGATAAAGCCTAAAACTTAAGAAATCAATTTTTTTCATCTTTATTTTTTTTACTTTATCTTTTCTCATGTTCAATACTCATAATAACAAGGATTATTCAGATAAGCAACATTATTAAAACTATGAGTTAAAAAGCTTACAGTTCATAATTTATATACATTTTAATTTATTTAGTTTTAAATACTCTTTAATGTTTGAATGCTATCATATTGTTAACTGCTACCCTTTAATTAATTTTATAATATTCTTGAACTTTTTAGTATTGCATAGGATCAATATGAAATAATGTATAATATTGAAATTCATATTTAAGAATATTTCATAAATAGAACAGAAAAATAGTATGAAGTTGGGAGCTCTGAAAAGAAAGGATTAAAACAAAGTGGAAAGTTGGTGGGGCCAAGAATTTTTCAGCACAATACATCAGATTTTACACTCTGTATGCTTTTTACCATCAGGCACCCTCTCATAATATGTATTTTTATGAGATGTTGCCTTGCATAAAAATCTAACAAAACACTGAGTTTTACTAACTTCAGCAGAAAAGAAAAAGCAACTGGTAAAGAAAGAAGCTATATAATCATCTCAGATTTGCAAGTCCTATTTCTTAAATTGATTTCCATTAAATAGGTGAAAGTGAAGTGTAGTAGTAGTACTAGTTATAATAAACTCAAGATGTAATAACCATTGCTCAAAAGTCTGGCTGACTCGAATTGATGGCCATAAAAAACAATCTTGAAGTTTATTTTTTCACTGTTGCTTCACTTTGGCCATGTCAAATAGGATATTTTTTTCTTTCTGTTGACAATACTGTATTTAAGGTAAAAAGCAAGATATTCCATAGCTAAGATGTGTATATTTATATTATAAAATTATTTTGTAAATTTCAAATTGATAAACGAAGGATACCACCCTCTACTTTTGTCATTTATTGGCAGACCACACAGCACACAAAAAAAAAGAACGTGCATGTGTGTGTTCAAATGCACATATCTCATTACATATGTGGGAGTGTCTGGCATCAGTCGTTGAATAAGAAGGAAGGAGGCTTGGAAAAGTTGACACTCACAGAGCACATTGAAGGCAAGAAAGACAGTGGAAACAAGCTTGTGCAAATGGTTGGCAGAACAAAGATTAAGAGATATAGCAAAAAGACAAACTTTACTAAAGGTTACAAAATTCAGGAAGTTGGGGAGAGCCAGATCGCCTATTCACTGAAGGGACACAGCACATAGAAAAAGATTTACTAAAAGTCATTCTGTTCATACAGATTAAGCTGATTTTTTTTTTAAATTATTTAAAACCATTACAAGCATCTAAATCATTTTTAAAAGTAGCTAAAAATTTTGTTAGATGTTTGTTCACCTGAGAATGACTTAACAAGTGAGAATTAATAATGGGAAGATCATTAAAACATAAATCAAAGCTGTTGAAGTCAGACTAAGTTAATTAAATCAGTTCATACAGATTTTAGTTAATGTAATATGCAATATCCAAAATATTATGTGCCAAGCAAATAATAGAAGAATCCTATGAAATAGCTACTGAAAGAGATCTACTTACCATCAGCTCTTGGTGGAATAATTGTTCTGTATCCACTTTCTAGAATTAATCGTTTTTGATCAGCAGTGGCAATGGCATTGGGCCGATCTTTAACATGGAATATAGATTTGATAGTAAGATCTTTCATGTCTTTACTTAGGTCTAAGTCCACATCATTCGGTTCAGGTTGCTTTGTAAACTTTTCTTTTTTATCATTTGACACCTTTCCAGGTTTTGATACTAATTTCTTTTCTTTGCTACTAGTAGGAGTCTTTTGCTTATCTGAACTCTCAGAGCCGCTGCTAGTTGTGCTCTTGTTCCGCGATTTACCAGGAAGAAACATAGATAATAAAGATCGTTTCTTTTCTTTTTTGGGAGTGGATGCAGTTGAAGAACCTTCAGATTGAGTGCCTTCTTTAGATTTGTCACCTTTTTTGCTACTTCCAGATGGAGTCCAAGAGAGGAAAGTTTTTGGGGTAGGACTGGGTGCTTTAATGCTTACTGACTGATTAGAAGCAGGAGTTTGTAATTTCATAGGAGTAACCTCTGTTGTGGCACTCTGAATGGGAGTTTTGGGTGTAGGGTTAGTTTTCCAGAAAGGAGAAGTGGTATAAGGAGTAGACGACAACACTGATGCTGGGATATCCTGATTATAACTATCTCTTTTAGAGCTGGGGATCATTTTTGTAAGAGAAATAGCTTTCTCTTTCTTTTTAGTGTCACTGGATTTACCAGAACTATCAGATCCTTGCTTATCATCAGATTTTGGCGTGGCAGGAAGTATTCGGCGCTTAAATGCAGGATGTGACACTTTTCGAACTGGTCTTGGCTTTATCCATAGACCAGGGAATTGTTCTACTGAACTGATGCTAACAGTTGTAAGAGCATCACTGTCACTTTCATCAGCAAATGGAATGTCATCAATATTTTCAACAACACTTACTTGTCTCTCAAAGTAATTTTCATTCTGAGATTTTTTCAGGCTTGCATCAACTGGGATTTTTCGCCTTCTCCCAACACCTTCCTCAGTTGAAGACACATTAGAAGTTGTAGGTTTGTTATTTTTATCAACCACAGAATTGAACTTAGATAAAAATGATTCTTTACTAGTTTTAGTGTCTTCTTTCTTTTCAGAAGTTTTTGCAGGAATGTTAACTGGGGATTTAGGCTTTATAGGAACACGAGAAGTTGGAGTGACACCAAATGGTTTTAGAGGAGGCAGAGTTCTTTTAAATTCATTGATTTCAGGTAATTTGCGCTGAGGCTTTAATTCTGGGGCTAAATCAGTTGGACTACAATCAGGTGTGGCTTTAGGTGCAGGGGATGATTCTTTGCTGCCAGCTGTTATATAATAGCTTCTGTCCAGACTTTTAGAATTGCTATATCTTTTACTGAGCTCTATATCTGAAAGTTGTTTGCTTACCACTGTCATATCAAAACCCCTTGTGGGAGCAGAAGAGCTAATTTGATATTGCCATTTATCATTAGTTCTCGTGTCATCTTTTTTTTCCCATAATGTATCTGGCTTTTTTGGCACTTCTATATTTATATCAGTAAGAGATATGGGACGATATTTGTCTGTCATAGTATTCCGAGGAAGAGAACGAGCTCTATTAATTGGTCTGCTTTCTGATGAATCACTAGGCAATAATTTTTCTACAAAACTAGTTTGCTTATCCAGACTTGCATCCGAAAGGGGACGTTTGCGATCATCATTATGCATTGATGTTCCTGTTCGAGGTGGTTTGATTGGAACGGGTATTTTCATTTTCATTTCTGGTGCTGATTTAGCAAGCTCAGGATATTCAGGAAGTGAGTTCTCTACTTTGTGATCAAGTGGTTTCTTACTGGCAAACAGCGGATGTCGGTCAGCTATATCAACTAGCAACGGCTTTTTATTTACAATACTGATAGGCTGGCTCCTTTTTACCACAAAATCAGGATTTTTACTTTTCACTGGTTCTTTACGTGGACTTTCTTTTGGTGCAACAGGGATAAAAGGCAGTGGCTGTTTCTCAGTTATTTTAGTTGGTACAGAAGTAACATTATCAGATGTTTCAAATGGCATTTCTTCTTTAGATTTCTTAATATTTTCTTTATTATCTTCATCTTGCACCCAATTCATTTCTACTGAAGGTCCTTTTAACTTTAGATCAACTGGCTTTTCAGGGAGCCTTTTCTGTTTTTTTATTTCTATAATTTCTGTTTGTTCTTTTGGTTCTATATTTTCTACAGCTTCTATTGCTTCAACAGCAACTTCATCTATGGAATCAGAATCTTTAGGTAGAACTTCTGCTATTTCCACAGTGTCTATTTTGTCTTCTTCATTAAGCCTGTTCTTGATTTCCTCTTTAAATTCACTAAGTAATTCATCATCCGATGCATTAGTTGTGGTCTCTACCAAAACCTGTTTATTGTATTGCAAAGCTTCATTTAAAGAGCTTAAGGAGGAGTGGATAGAGTGACTTGGGGTGGACAGAGTAAAACTGGACTCAGATCCTGAACCCTCATCTTCAGGAATGGCAGCAGCAGCTGCACCTTTCTTTTTCTTCTTTTTCTCTCGTTTTGTAACAAATTTATCATCAATATTATTCCAGGGCTCATTTTCTAAAACTGGAGTGGATGGTTCATCCATTCTCTCCAGACTCCGAAGGACTGATTGCAATGTACTATCTTCTGAGTCCACAATTGTATCATCAGACATAGCAGATACACTTCTAAGAACAGCTTTTTCAGTGTTTGTTGTCTCTGTGCTTTTTGATTCTTCTTCACTTGAGGGCTCCAATTGCTGTAGTTCTTCTTCTAAATCATTCTCAATTTCCATTGTTTTCACATCTGCAGACTGGATTTCTTCATCAACAATTACTTTTTCTGTCATTTCTTCCTTTGCAAAAACTTCATCTTCTTCAGCAACTCCCCATGTTCGTATGGTTGGTTTTTCCTCATCACTACTTGCTGATTTCTCTTCCAGGTTGCTTAAAACATGTTCCATGGCCTGACTTACTGCTAATTGTTCATCATCATTTTCATCTTCCAATTCTGCAATTTCCTTGTTGGTATCTGCGCCATCAGAATCCCCTTCTTCAAGTGTTTCTGTTTCACTTTCCTCAGATTCTTCAGATAAACTGTCATCTATGCCATCATCTTCATTATCTATTGAGGACTGTGGTATATTGATGCTAAATAAAATGAAAAATAAATAAATGAAAATAAAAATTTGCTGATTTGAAAAAAAAGTCACAAACCAGTCAATGAAGGAAAAGGAAAAATATTTTTAAAATTTGAAGGAAGCCAAAAATGTGCTTTCTATATGCAGATAATCAATACTATATGATGTCTGTTTGGAAATGAATCATTCATTTAATATTAATGAAAACTTAGTTTACCTTTGAACTCTTCAAATTACTCCCCTTAGCACTTCACATACTCTAAAACAGCTTTCAGCTTCATCCCTATATTCTCCTTAATCTCATCCACAGTTTGAAATCTCCTTTAGTGATTGTTTTTTTTTTGTTTGTTTTTTTACATAAAGACCTAGCATATGTTTTTTTAAGCAGAATAATTGCAGAAAATGTTTTTACTGAAACTTAGTTGACCAATGGTCCATGTAATCTTGTTAATCTATATAAGATATATTTGCTAGTAGTTTCAGAGGAAGAATAGTTTTGTGAAATTGGGTTATCTAGACTTGTTATCACAGAAAACTTGCTATGTGCTTTCTGAACAAAGACAACATCTAGGGAGCTTAAACGAATCGTTGAATTTTACCAATACATTGGTAACAGCTAGCAGATTGTAGTATGAAGATGAAGCCTCTCTCTCACGAGAATGAGTGAGTGACAGACTGACCATAAATGTAGTAGTAATTGTGAATGAACAGGCTACCAACTTACCCCCCACTCCCAAAAAACACAAGCAACTGCTATTCTATCATTCTCACTGTAGCAAATGAGCAATTTAGAATTCAGACTACTGTATATCACTGTGAAGCCTTAGAATTGGGGGAAGGAAGTCACTGTGTAGCTAAAAGAGGTAAAATAAAGTATGTCTTATTAATATATTGTTAAGGTATTCTGATTTTCTGTCATTATTCCAAGACTCATCAATTTCAGGAATACATCAACTTTAGTTTTATATGAAACATGGCTGATTTAAACTTGTAATATTTCAACTATGTGCTTGAAACTTCATCAAATTTTATCAAATACAACATGGATAGAGGTGTCTCCAGTTACCAGACTAGTGACTGAGATAAGAAGTGCATTACTAGCCATAGTGTGATACAGGGAGTCAAATCTGGACTGTAGAAGAAATGAAAAATCTGAATGTTGCAATGTTTTATCAAAATCCCTACTCAGAACATAAAGAATAGGCAAGTGAGACATTCAAACTGGCTAAATACTCTTGGAACAGTCCACAGAATCTGTATGCTTTCCATTTCTCATTGTTAATCATTGATTTCCTTTGACTGAAACTCACATTCAATATTTTCTGCTTGTTTGATCAGAATATGAACTACTTTCAATAGATTCCCAGATAAATTATACTGACATCAAAATTTTATCTGGGCTTTTCTTATTTAATCATTCTTGAAGCTGCCTTAATCATTGAATAGTTTGTGTGGATGAATATCAAAGTTTCAAGCAAAATAATGCATAATCACTGTGAATGTGATGGTCACACATTGACATATCCCTACCAACTGAGTATTCTCGTGAGAGAGCATACACAACTGTACAATAAACTCACTCCTGATTAGTTGCCAAGTTATTTCAGGGCCATGCAACTCATTTTAGAGGTTCAAAATCACTAGATGCTTTCCAGACAAATCTCATAAGTGATTAAATTTATGATTACTTGATTTTCTGATCTTGATCATATTACTTCGCTCTCTTTAACTATATTAGAGTTAAAAAGAGAGTATTAATAGTATAGGGTCGACAATTTGGGGGGGAGACAATCCCAGCATGTGGCATCTTTGGAAAGTGGCAAGGGTTGACCCAAGCCTTGTGAGTGAAATTGGGTAGATAGAACTATTTGGGAGCTGTCAATGGTGGTGCTAGCATGAAGTCATAAGTCATTGTGATTGAGGGTTTGAGTGTACTAGCTTTGTTCAAACTGTTGATCACACTAGATAATGCACTCTCTCCCAGAAACTGTAACTAAGGTATACTCAGCATAATTGCAGTATAAATCACAGGTGAGCTCTGTGGAACAAATACAAATGTGCCTGAGCTTATGCTCTGATACAAGCCACTATAGGGTCAACAACATTCCCATGCACTTTTTTTATAAAACTGAGGATGAAAGCAACCTAATAGTAACGTTTAGGAAAGAATTGAACTTATATATTTATAATTGCATCATTATAATGAAATGTGTAAAAGACAAAAAATAATAAAACAACTTTTACTGTATTTAATTCTTGAATTATGTATGAGGGTTGCACCAAAAGTAATGCATCCTATTCTAACTCCTTATGTCAGAAGCACATTCTGTTGGTGTGGTAGAAGAGGTTGAGCTTTAGCCAATAATCTACAGAGTATAGCAGAAATACCTCCCACATAATGGCAAGATATTAGTTAGATGAAGACACCTTTACCACTAATAAATTACCATTATGTGGGAGGTATACGTAGAAGATATTTCTGCCGAAACCTGTATAATTTTGATTTCAGGCATAAAAGCAGAGGTGTGAGTCATTGAATACCTCCAGGTACAAATAATTGCACCAATGACATAAATCAATGCTTGAACAATTACCAAACAGTGGATGTGAACACAGGTTGTGAGTGATGCATTTCATCAATGGTGACAGCAATGTATATGACAAGTTATGTTTGGTGGACCCTACAAGAATACATAGTCATTGATATTGACTACATGAAAAAAAGTAGTGTTTTTTGTAGGTGAAAATTTATTTTGTCCAATGGTATTATCATGTTCCTATATCTGTTGTAGTTTCAATGGAAATAAATAGGAAGCATTACTTTTGGAGCAACCATCATAATGTTTTATGGCTTAGCAAGTTTTAAAAGTAAGTAAAACTAACTTATGATGATTTTTCATATTTATGAATTTAAGATAACTATAGTGAAGTAGTTTAAAGAAAAAAAAAACAAATTCATGAATTAAAACATTTTCTTAAAATGTTCACAGAAAATTATGCTAGGTTTTAATTCTTAATAAAAAAAATCAATCATCTAAATATAATACAAAAAGTAATTAAAATCTCTTTAAAAGAGACAAAAATGGATGGACAGTTTAATGATATCAAAACTCAGGTAAAAATAACTACTGACTTATCAGATCTAGACTCATATGAATGTCATGCATGGTGTCCAACTTAGTCAGAAATAGTCTAAACTATCATCTATATACATTTTCTCAGATGAATGATTAAAAAAGGCTTCAAGTGAATGAATCCTTTAGGTCTTAAAGACAATCTTTCATCTGACCCCATTGGTGCTACAAAATCACAAAGAGCTTTACCAAATAACAAAAACCATCTCACTTGAAAACTTAACAGAATCAACAATAAAAATTGGTAGCACAGGTAACTAAAAGGGAAATTACTTATATGATCAAGAGACTGACTTTTCACACTACTTTAAACATGTTTAGGAAGGAAACTCCAACCAATACTAGAAAGAGTGATAATGGTGAACTTGAGAAATCAAATTTTTCAAAAAACTCATTTAAGAAAAAGATTTTATAAATTTCAACAAAAAGTAATGCTGTTTGGTCAATGAATGCTGAATGTTTCTTGTATGATAATGGTTAATTTCACCATTACCATTTAAATAATGTACACATTTAAATGTATTTATTGCAAAATAAAAACTCACATTTTTTCTTGCAGTTCCATTTTATCCTTTTTAATAAACAAAGGTGAAAATTTGGGTGCTGGTGGTTCTCCTGTTTCTGATGGTTGGACATTATTTAAATCTGATACTGGTGCAAACCCAGCTGTTACAGTCATCACAGGTTTTGACTTCTTTTCATCATCTTTATTTGTTTTACCAATTCCTAAAATAGTAACCCTTATAATTATTTGCAGTGCAGTTACAAAGTAATATATAACTAACATTTATCAAGACATGCAAAATGATATCTCAAAAAACAGGTTTATAATTTTTGCTTATTCTATAAATAATATATAAATTTATACCAGGAACAAAAAAAAACCATCAAAACAAGATACAAATAGAAAAGAAATTTTTACTCATTACAAGTTGAATTTTTTCATTAAAGAAATTCAAAGTAGGATATAAAAAAAACAAAAAGTCTTTTTCATAGAGTTTTTCTAAGTAAAAAGTTACCATTAAGATTGAAGCATTGTTAGAATGAGGTGAGTATGATGAAAGAAAGACAAAGCTTATTTAAAAGTAATTTCCAAATGGAAACTGGTATGTAATTTTGCTCTTTATGTGTTATGAATTTATGGCATTGTTGCATTTGTAAAAGATTAGTCATGAATGAATAGTAAACAAGAAATCAACCCACTTATGTCCATAGTTGGACATAAGTGAGACTTGAATGTATTAAATGCATTGCATTTGTCTATAGTTTGAGATTGTGTTTTAAAAGAATGGAAATAAGTTCAAGGAGAGTAGATTTTTGCAAAGGAATGTGTAAGAGAGAGAGAGAGAGCAGTTGATGCAAGAAGTTAATTTGTAATTTTATAAAGTAGTTCTATTTATACAAAGAACAGTACTACAATCAAATCGATGATTTTGGGCAACAAATGAACCCATATATATCACAACTTTTGGTGTGTTGATTACTGTTTTGAAGCTCAAAACACATTGTATTATGTTTAGGCATTTATATATTTTTATTTATTTTAGGATATAATTTTAGTTTTACTTTCTAAAAAAAAATCTCAGTAGTGACTTCTGCCTCATTGAATTTATATTAAATCATAATTAGATAAAATTTAAATAGTTAATTATGGAAACCAACCCTAATAAATTTAAGCAATTATATAATATACAGATTAAATTTTATTGGTTAGAGAACAACTATTTTTAGAACCACTAAATTTTTGACATTGCTTTGGTTCATTGCTTTTTTCATCAAAATGAAGACAAAGCAGAATATTTTACATATTTTTACAAAAGCTTATGAATTATTAAAAATTACTAGGACTCAGATTTAAGCTGATATCCTAAATGGAATACAGTTAACTGAGGGCGCTATAGTTGATTATGGATAATAAGAGCAGCATTAATAAAATTACACCTTGAAAAAAAAAATCAAATCAAAGATAATTACTAAATAATGAACTAATTATTAACATGACTATTTCTGTAAATACTAACTTTGTTAGTAAAAATTTTAGTTATAAAAACTATGATGAATTCTTTATAATTACACAAAGCCTTACCAAAGAGAAGTTTTGCATCAAGTCGAACTGGCTCAGGAGGTGAGGCAAAGAATTTGGCTCTTGCTTCCATAAGACTAGCAGGACTAGTTGGAGAACGGAGTGGGGAAAGAGGTTCGACCTTAGAAATGGGTTTTAAGCTGGACAGTGACTGCTCTCTACCATCAGCCAATTCATCTAGTAGGACTTTATTTTCAGTGTCAGGAGGGGTTTGATCTTTCATTGTGTCATCTGCATCATCGGATGAGGATCCCTTTTCTGTTTCAGTTTCTAGGGAGAAAAGGATAATGAAAAAAGTGCATTTGCTAAGATCTAAAAATAGCAAATATAGATAAGGGTAAAAAAAAATAATTAGAAGGCTTTGTGCTGTACTAAGCTGTGTAAATATTTAAAAAATTAACTTAGATATGTTATAGCTTATCAAAAATCATGAGCATGCTAATAAAATTTATATATAATCTTGGAATTACAAAAAATGAAAATTTATTTTGGTTCTTTAGTCAGATTTCACCTCCCAGCAAACATAAAACAATGAATGACAACTTATTTAATTGAAGCAAAAACAAAAATACAAGTTTTTTAAAATTTCAAACAAAAATTTCCTCATAAATTAAATTTTAGATTAAATTTGAGCAATTTTATTCTTCCAGTAATAAATAAAATCTGCACCTATAGGTTTACAATCTTTCTGCTACCACAGGCAAAAGAAGAGGTAGACAGAAGGAAAAAATGGACCAAAAACGTCACTGAGCAGACTTGACAATCATTGACAGAGATTTAGACATTGGCATGCAACTGAGATGTGTGGCGGCAGATGGTCAACACATCTTTGGTCACATCCAGTCATAGAACTGCTGCTGCTGATGATGATAGGTTTACTTTATTTCATAACCTTTTATCCTTATCAAAACTCTTTTTTCAGTTAAAGTATCAACTGGAAAAGTGTAATATGAAACAGGTGAAAAACAATCTTTAAAAATTATTCTATTTGTTCAATTAGAATTTAGACCAAAAAATCTAATTTAACATCCTCCAAATTAAAAAAAATGTTTTTTAAAAAGATAATTATAAGCATTGCGCTAAATTCAAAATCAAATTCCTTTAATCTCATAAAATGTGTTAATGAAATAATCTCTACAGTACTTCTAATTCTCTCACTGGGCTAGTTGGCCAATCATTTCTATTTATACATATTGGCCAATTTAAACATTGATAATTGAATGAAGCCTTCATTTTTGCTTTGCTTATTTTTATCTGAAACCAATGACACCTAAAAACAAATTATTCCATAATTTTAGAAGAAAAAATAATAAAAAGCAATACTTTTTAATTCTATGATTAAATTTCAAATATATTTCTTTTCAGAAACAAATTCTGCTATATCAGATAAATACCATGGATGATGTATTTCTTATTCATTCAAAAAAGACACTTCATAATAGAAACAAATTATAGAATAATGTCTAACCATCTTCACTAGATTCTTCTGTGCTATCTGTGTCTTCATATTGAAGTCTGCGTTTATCAGCTAGCTTGCTAAGAATGTTTTCTCTTGCGTTTCGTTCTTGAAATGTCTCAGCTAAAAAGCATGCTTCTTCCCAGGTTAATACCCGACTTGCATCATCGTCCAAGTCTTCAACATCAGCATCATCTTCACTGGTCCTGTAAAAATAAAACTCATAGAAGAATTATGCTTTTACTGATTTTAATTTGGTTAATTTATGAAAATAGAACATTAAGTCACATAATTCTCATTTTAGTAAATGTGTTGAATTATTCATAGTCAATATTTAAATATGAATATATAATAGAATGACAAAATCAGAGAAAACTCCTACATTAAGTATTTCATCCTTAGAAAGGACTTCTTCCAACTGATAATGATTTTATCAATGGACTCTATATATATATATATATATATATATATATGTGTGTGTGTGTGTGGTGGGAAGAAATACAACAAATCTCACATCAAGAAATGTTGAAGCTACAAGCTTAGAAGTCCTTTCTGCAGATAAAATGCACAATTTAACAGATTTTTCCATGTTGTCAATCAATTATCTATTAGTTTGATATATATATATATATGTGTGTGTGTGTGTATATATATATATATATATATATATATATATATATATTCACACAAATGCACTGACATATCAAAAGTCATGGGATATATGCCTAGCATCATTCATCATTTAGGATTCCCACTAGCCTGGTAAAATGCAACAACTTAACATGGTATTGATTCTGAAACAGGTCAGAAAACTTCTGGAGAGATGTTGAACCATGCTATCTCACAACTGTCTGCAGTTCCCTGATATATGTAGGTGCAAGATATTGCATGTGAGTAGACTTCTGCATCCATATGGTTCCTAATACCATACCCCGTCCAAACTGGTAATTTTCATTACCTTACAATGAGCAGCCCAATTGGTATTTACACTGACATACCAGATGTAAGAGTACAACTGATACAAGTTTGAGCATTTCCATGAAGTCAAGGTACAAATGATGCTACTTACAATTGCCTTTATATCCTATAACTTTTGGTATGTCTGTGCGTGTATAGATATATATATTTTTTTTAATGTCATTTTTATTAAACTGATATTTTTTATATTTATATAAATAAATATTACTGTTGCAAAGGTAGTGATGATGCATTTAAATGAAACAATTGGAAAATATATATGAAATGGCTCAAATTTATGAATTTAATAAAATCATCATTTCTTTCATAAAAAATATCCAAATTTTATAGTTACGAGGAAAAAGCATGCAAAAATTAATGACAAATAAATGCATCAAATTAATAAATTAACAAAATGGATCTTTAAAATGTTCAATCTAAGAAGAGTTAGACAATGAAGAAGAGAAATAAAACTGCAAGCAAGAAGTGGATTTAATAAATTCTTTGAAAGGTAACCCAGTTTAGTTTTCCTTTCAAGTTATAACTATTTTATTAAAATATTTAATATTAAACTGCTTCATGTCAATTTCAAATCAGAAATTTTACTTTTGTAACTTAATTGTTTTAGATGTGATAATTGTTACTATCCTCAAAAATTAAATAAACTGATTGAAAGAAGCAATTGATTTTAGAATAAATTACAATCTCTAAGAATATTCATGATTCCTAATTATACAAAAAAATTTGGTGGCCTGGGAATTTAAAATTTAGATGGTAACACATATTTGCAATAATTAGAAAGTTTTTATTGTAAAATGATTCTCTGCTTGGAAGCACAATGAAGTTGACTGTTTAATTCAAAGTAAACATTTATACTCTAACTTAATACTATATATGTTAAAGTGTTTCCCTTTGATATTTTTTTGCATAAGCTAAGGTCAATGTGCTGTATTTGCTAACATTAATAATTTCATTTCATCAAAATTACAATAATGAAAATATAGTCATATTTACTCTTCCCCATTTGCAAAATTTGAAAAATATTTGACTGACTTATTACGTTATAATCAAAACAAGTATATAAAATGAATAAAAATTGTATCTGATGTCACAAAATTTTATTTTATTTAAGAGAATTTCTTAAAAAAGTATAAATCAGAATTAGTTTTATTAACGAAATGGAGGATTAGTATATATTTTTATCAGTTTAAAAATTATATATATATATATATATATATATATATATATGTATGTATGTATATATGTATGTATGTATGTATGCATGTTTTAGAATAAATATAAAATAAATATTCACTTTGTAGAGTAAGAAATTTTTAGAGAAGTAAAAATCCAATTTTATATTTGATGTCAAATGCTATTTTTATCCATAGTAAATATCTGTCTATCAATGACATCATTACTTCACACTGATACAATTACAATTGATTTTGAAATATAAAAAGAACTGAGAAGATAATGCATTTATTAATTCTCTAGATAAATATATTGGATAATATAGAAACATGTCACCCCACCAACATCATCGAAGAAAAGTAGAATGTATAAAGTCAAGTAAATAATTATCAGAATAATTTAAGGAATCATTTCCTTGTTTGTAATCAAACAGAAAAGGTGTTTCATAAAGCAATGATAATAAAGTGCTCAAGAGATTAAATAAAAATAGTGAGTAACTGAAAATAATAGCATTTAAATAAAGAATTGGAAACATTTATCAAAATGTTTTGGTGAAAATAATTATTTCTAAGGATTTTCAGTTAAGAAGTATATTTATACAGCAAATGACAAAAACTATATTCACTCATTCATTTCATGCAGAGAATGAACACAGAACAAATAAAATCAAAGCACAATTTCCAAACATTTAAGGCAAGGAGATGGGGGAAACATGCTAAAATTATTATCAACAGAAAAAATAATTTTCTTAAAATTATTATTCCTATTTAAAATGCTTTGAACATATTAAAATTTATAAACAATCTTAATATTTAAAATATTATTTTCATTTTTAAAATTTACATGAAATTAAAATTAATTACAAATAATCTAAACTTATAATAAACTGAAAGTTAAAACAACAGTTTGCAAATGAAACTACAAATTATTAAAGGTCTTTTCCTAAAGACTACAAGTAAATAAATTCATAATCTATTAGGTTTCTTTTTTTTTGTTTAAAATGAAGAAAATTCCCCACTGTAAAAACTTTTTCACAATATTTTTCAGTATCAACAAAATGTTTAATATAAATAAGTTAATAGGTACAGTATGTAAAAACATATTGTAAATCTCAAATATCATTCTTCATCCCATTTGAAAATATATTACATTTGTTAGATCAACTTGTGAAGTGAATTAATAGTTTAAAAATCGAGAATATATCTCTCTAACACAGTTAATTAACAATAGTAATCTAAGGAGAGATATTCTGATTATACAAAAGAAATCAACATTTTCGGTTTACTAACAAATCAAATTATTTGATTAGGTAAGTGCCAAAGAAAAAACTGTAAATGTATAAATCAATCACAAAATATAGCACCCCCAGAAAAATGACATGATTAAATGTAAAGCAAAGAGTTTCCATCAACTAAAGTAAATTTTAAATTTATTATAAATTCTTTATGCAAATTAAATGGTTATTTGAACAGATATTTTAATTTTTTCATCAAATGAATTTTTTTTATTTTGTTAATTTACTATATAAATAGATTTTTTTTTATATGAAGCATACAATTTTAGTCACATTCCTCTCTGCTTTTACGTATGTTATAGAAAGCAGTAGAACTTTTTCTTTATCAAAAAATTTTTCCTGCTATAGTCATGACATCTAACTTAGGTGATGTCTTTATGCACAAGTTATTGGATTGAATTACTTAGTAGATACTTTAATTTTAATCAAAGCATTGGTTTCTATATGAAGGTTTGGTTTTCCAGACATGAAAGTACTTGTATTTCTCAATGATATTTATTTCAATTAAATGTATTTATCATTAGAAACTAAGAAAATATTAAAGCTTAATCAAATGGATTTGAACTTTGTAACAATAAAAATGGTTTCTCTTTTGAAGTTCGAAGATATATATCATTCTTCAAATAATTCAAATAAATGGTTTAAAAGAATATACAGTCAAAACTGTTACTTAAAAGTAATGCTAAAGAGATAAAATGATATTATCCTACAGCAGTAGAAGAAAAATAAAAAGATAAATACTGAAAAACAAATCATAATGAAAAAGACAAGATATATTTCATCAAAAATGTGTGTAGTTATGAATATTTAAAAATTTAGCATTTAAGATTAATTTCAAAGTAATATTTTATAATTTAAGCTCTTACATTATTTATATATACTAGTAACTTAGCAATGTTATAATTATATCATGTCTCTTGACAACAAAATATATACTACTAATAATTAGTAACATACAAAGGATGTCTTTCATCTATGCTTTCTAGATAAATTTAGTTTGTTTTCATAAAAATCTGTATAAAAATTTACAGTATTTTAAAAATTGTTTACATGAGCCAGTATTTGAATTTATATTTTCCAAAATGCAAACAATAGAAATATGAGAAGAATATGATAATAAAATAGGCAAAGAGAAATAGATAAAACAAATTATATTTTTAGATAAGTGTAAATTTGAAATAAGTATAAGCATTTAAAAGTGAAGGAAAAAAAAATCAACTCTTAGCTTTCTTTCTCCAATTTTTTGTTTATGTGTTTGCTTGAAGACAATCCTAAAAGCATTGAAAAAAAATAAATGTTATATTCAGCAATATTTTGTTATAATTTGCCAACATCAGACAATATAAGATTTCTTACTGGATTTTAATGTTTTTTTCTTTTTCATTATGATTTAATTTATTGGTTTTAATGAACAGCAAATAACAAGGAACTGGACATGCACCAATACAAAACAAAGCTACCAACAAAAAATAATAGCATGATAAATCCATGCGGAATTGAACATCTAAAATGAACAACAATCTGCAAGGCAAATGATAGTAATGACAATAACAACAAATCAAATCAAGCTACCAAACAATTTAAAGGCAATATGAGTTTGAAACATCATACCACTGTGACAGAAAATCAGACAGCTCCAGATCGGAAAGTTCTTCACTGGAATTTAGAAATGTTATTAGCTGATTATTACCTAGCTGACACTTGATGTTCCATTTATAAGTTTGTTTTGTACTGTTATACTAAGCAATATAAAAAAAACTTCTTTGAAAAAATGTAAAATTTTTAAATATTCTACAAACTTAAAAAAAAAGAAAAAAATTTTTTTTTTAATATACTTGTGTACTAAACAATTTACAAATAATACTTTATATTGAATGTGCAAAACTTTGTAAATATACAATATTCATTAATGTATAAAGCAAAAAATAGCCTAATGTTTATAAAAAAACATTTTCAGTTTAGTCATTGGTCTAGCTAATGTAAAACCAAAAATAATATTACTGGAAAAAGATGTACAACTTCCACCCTTATAAACACCAACTGGCACATGCACACAGTAGTCTTGTATTTCTGATGTTGTCTCTTACAAAAAAAAAAAGAAAGAAAAAAAAAAAAAAGCGCTTGGAAACTGATAGGACAGTACAATATAAAACAAAAGACATTTGTAAAAAGATATTCGTACAAAAGATTAAATTTAACAGATACAAAATATCTATTGTTTTTAACATGTTTAAAAGAATTATTGCTGCCCTAGTATATTGAATTTAAAAGTTATTGTTGCAATATACTAGCAACTTTCTTCTCATCTGATTATCTTTTAAGTCAAAAAACAGCTTCAGATATACAGTTCAATACTGAATATTTTCATACAGTGGTTAAGAAATGTAGTATATTATTTGAAATAAATAGTCAGTACAAGAATTAATCATATAATGCTTTAATTTTAAAAGCTATCAGTCTTATTTATAATGAATATAAAAATGTCTTCATCTTATCAAAGATCTTAAATTATGAATGTTAATTCTGGTTCTATTAATTTTAAACATCAATTTTCAATGTTCACCATAAAAATCTTTTTAATCTCTCAAATTTCAGATAAATATTTCTATCACAAAAATTTCACAAGATTGTAAATAAAGAATAAAAATAATTTTAAAATAAAAACTTGAAAAGTTAAATAAAGAAGACCACTTTATATTTTGAAGATCTACAACAAAATGTTCAGATAATCTGAAATTTTCAAGAAAAAATTAGTAAAATTACAAAAACAACTGCAAGTTTTCTTTTCGAAAATTTATTTTGCTTGAAGGAAATCATACAAATGTACTTGTATGAATAATTATTGAAATAGGAAAAGCTAAGATCAGAAATATGACTAAGAATAATATAATTTGTAATTATATTTTTAACCTTTGCTAAGTAGTTAAGAATTTGTGACTGCATTAACAAATTTCAGTTTTGTTGTTTCAGCCAATATATAATGCTGAATCATGACAATGTGCAAGACTGTTGCAAACTTGATAACTTATTTGTGTGACCAATACCAATAAAAATAGCTATACTAAAAAGTAAATATGGAATACTGTATATGCAATATATTTAGCATTTTTTTAAAAGTATACTTCAGTGTGTGAAACAATTTTACCAATCAACCAGTTACTCCCAACCCTAGATAAAAAATGTAGTCCATCTAAATGGAGAGATTTAATCTTCAAGGTGTTTTTTCAACCAAAACATTGAGGAGAATTTTAATTGCCTCTGTTAGTGTTTGGTATAGAAATTCCAAAGAGTTTTTATCCTGTGCTTCAATTCAGATATGAATTGAAAATTTTATAATTTTTTTTGTTGGCTATTTTAACCTAAAAGGAATTAGGCTAATTAAATAACACAAGGTAATTTTAAGTTTTTATCTGACAAGTAAAGAAACAATACAAAAGTTTTTAAAACTTCAATATATACCCCCTCCTAACCTTACTAAACTATTCTAAATAAGCCCAGTCAATAAATTAAGAGTCAATTTCATAAAATAGTTGTTTTTTTCCTTTTCAATTCAACTAGAGTTTCAGAGACTATCCTATATTCAATAAAATAATCCTGTAAAAAATAATAAAGTAATCATGAAGAAATTACATTTTTAGTCATTGACTGTTGATAAATAATTGAAACACCGAACAGTATTTTTTATTTTTTGACTTGAGTGCTACTGATGTTAATGAGCACTAAAGGCATTTTTTAATAACTATTCATCCAACATATACCACTGTAAAATTTTAATTTGATTATATTTATTATATTCTCTATTATTATGATAATCTACTATTACTGAAAAAAGAAAATGAAACATTAATTGTAATGTCTGTGCACAATTTTGTACAAACAAATGAAAAGATCAGCGAATTTAAAAGAAATTTCCTTACTCAGATTCACTGGATTCAGAATCTTCATCCTCTTCATTCAAATTCTCTTCTGACATAGACGCACTTAAATTATGTAAAGTTTGAAGTTCTTCTGAATCTTCAGGCACACCACCAGTGGCATTTTCAAATTCTACCCTTTCTGGGGTATTCTTCAAACCATTTTGAGCCTCTTCTTTTACTTTAATTGTAGCTGGAAACAAATAATATACTGAGTAATTCTTTTTTTTAATTTATTTATTTGAAGAGTTACAAATGAAGGTAAATATATCATTTCATAACTGTATATGAAATCCACACCATTTACTATATTTGCATAATGTAAGCACCAGGTAGTTCCTAGAATGGTTATTACTAACTCTGTGTTTATGACAAATTTGCAAGATTAGCTTCAGAAAAAAATGATTGCTTTTATACAATTTATTGCAAAATATAACTTAATCAAATTACAGTTCTGATTTTTTTTATAATTTGTATTTTTCTGTGAGCTACAAATTGCATTTTTCTGATTTAAGCATAAGAAACATGTTACAGTCCTAACTGTACATATTATGCAAAATTAATAGAGATGTTTCTAATGGTTTAAGTGCTTTAGAACATTTATAAGAATCATAATTAAAAAAAAAATCCTCACTAGTGGCCTTCTTTTGCAAAGGAGGTGTTTGTGGACTGGGTTGAGTTGACTCAACTGGAGTAGGATTTTTCGCAACCACTGTCTCTGGAATTGCATCTACCTGAAAACGATATATTGGTCAAATATAGAATTTATTTAATTTTAGGAAATAATTCAAAAGAATGTTAAATGTTAATATACAAACCAAAACATTAACAATAAAATATAGACAACCCTAAAGAGAAGCTCATAATTTGTTGACCTTGGATTATAAAAGACCAATAAATAATGGCTGACTTTTCAATTGGATTTTAGCAATTTCAATTTCCACACTTTCATAAAACCTCTGTAACATCAATAAGAAAATTTTTAAAAATTTAAATATGAAGTGGTGATAAGTTTGCATTATTGTGACTGCTTTTGTTAAAAAATTTTCTTAGTTTATATTTTTATAAATAAAATGCAGATTGAACTTAGGCATAAAATAACCTACCAAAATACATTCAACAGTTCTACTAAAGAGTACCAGACATATTTTTTTATTTAAACATATACATATATTACTCAGTTCTATGAGAACATTTCCATGAATTTAGTAAAAGATGCATAAGTCATGAAAGAAGAGCTTCATGTGAGAAAACATTGGCATAATTTTGAGACTCTTCTTGAAACATCTTAATGAATCTGCCATTAGCAGCAATAACTGCCTCAATATGAAGTCTGAAATATTGACATGCCCAAATCCATCTATTTTAGGCATTGTGCTAGTTGTGGCACACTTCAGAAATTTTATAGTGTTATGGGGGTGTTAATTGACTTCCCTCTCAATTATGCCTCATTTGTATTAGTCTAATATGTTTGGGGGTGGCGTGATGGGGAAGAGGCATAGACTCTTGTGTAGATCAGACGGTTATCTTTTGTTTTTTATTTTAGACATGAATTAGCTTCTCAGTATAATATAGAACTTGTATCGAAAGTCCTCATTCACAATTCTTCTGCTAGAACATCTGAAAATCTTGAGATCCTTAGCAATTGTGTTAACTGACTTTCTGAGGCTCTTATCAATAATTTTTTGTACAAAGTTTTCTGAATTTATTAGAACCCTTAGTGGGTCTTTTACGTGGCTACTGCTGTAGAATCCCCATCAGTGGCTTCCAGCTCATTGTAAACTTTGACAACAAACAATAATGCAACTTTCAGGAAGTGAGCAATCTATAAATCACAATGTTCTGCCTTTAAGACAACAATTACAACATGCCTTTTCATTTGCCAAGTTAGCTTGATCTTTGTTACCAATTATCTGAAAAGAAATGATAATCAGAATGAATTAGAGTAATTTGTACTCAAAGAACTAAGCAACCCTGTATTTAAAGAGAATCTTTAACTACAGTTTAATCACTCTCCATCATTCTAATATCATCTAATATTTGTTTCACATAAGTATCACTGTTTATTATCTCATTGTCTTTTCATATTAACAAATAAAAAGGTTTCTAAGAAGCTAAGAATAATTTTAACTCAGAAGTTAAAAGTATAATTTCTCCAAATTATAGCCATGATCATTTCATTTCAATAATTCAGCAATTTTTCTCGTGTTTCTTTTTTTTTATTTTGAAAAAAATATGTAGAAAAATTTCAGTTCAATTATCAAAATGTAGTTGTGCATAAAATACTTTGAATGTGCTTTGCTAAAAAATAAATTTTCTATAAAACTTACTCATGGTTGCAAATATAAATTTGAAATTGTTTTTATTTTATATGAATCCATGTGATAATAGGTTTATTAATTATGCTGGCACAACTAGCATGGTCTCAAAGAAATAAGAAATATTTAAGAAACACCAAAGAAAAAATGAACAGTGAAATGAGTTTGATTCTCATTCAGTGTCCTATTATACTTCAAGCCTTGGGCAAAAACTTAGCTATGCTTTGTAAATTGCAACTCAGCAAAACATTGCTCCTATTGTTAGGTGATTCTTTTGTTGTAAGTCTGCAACAACAAAACCCAAACTCACAGTGATTGTTGCTAGAGACAATGTTAATTTTGTTTTGTATAATTAATAAATCCTAAAATAAAAATTTTCTACTATTTGTTACATGTTTTTATAAAAGTAGTTATAAAACAATAAAATATCAAATTATTGTATGTGCTTCCATTCTGTTCAAATATTTTAAGAATAATAAAAATGAAATTAATAATAAAACAGAGATTATTGACATAATGTGAATATTACTAATGCACTGAATATCATTATGAATTCACATTTGAAATGTATTAGCTTCTGTAAATTCCCAGTAGAGTTCCAAGATGTTAAAACTCCCTCTAGTTTTTACTTTATGACTGTTAAGCATAATAGTTGGCTAAAGATTATCTTTTATTGCAAAAGCACTCTAAGCTGAGTGTCTGCAATGGGTATTTATTAAAAGAGTCAAATTTATTTGATTCAAATATCACTGTTCGCTTAATTATAAATGTAAAGAAATAAAATTAGATTATAACAAATCACACTTACCTTATCATTTTCTTCTGTTAAACTGTGTTTCCTTTTTGGTCTCTTCATTCCAACATGTCGGAAACAGTAGAATTTTGCTAAAGGAAAACAAAACGCACAAAATGGTTTTCATATGAAAAATGTCATCTTAAAACAAATTGCATTTGAAATTGTCATACAAATAATTCAAACTCAAAATTTCTTTGTAAGAAATTGCAGTTTAGTATGGTTTTTCTCTTTACTTTGAGAAAAAAGAAATATTATAATTTCATCATGGCCTGAAAGTTAGTTTTAAAATTTTTATAGAAATATTAAGACTGTAAAATATGTATATCCTTTTAATTTTCAAAATTACTTAAAATTTTGCAATTCTTTTCCAAATTATTATTATTAATCATTTAGATAATGATATAAGTACAACAAAATTTCTGCTTTTTATTCAGCAACAAATGAAAACTCAGTACAGAAATTGGAACCAGAAACAATAACTATGTTTTTAGTGAAAGTTCAAAAACTACTTAATTATAGAAAAGCAACTAATCATATCTTCTATTCAACTTGAAACTTGTCTTTTTTTTTTAAATTAATAAATTATGAACATTGCAATTTTATTAAGTTATGTAACATTTGCTTTGCAAACTTAATGATATAGTTTGTTTACTTTATTATGAAATTACTTTTAAAATAAATGTCAAAACATACTTCTTCATATGAACAGAAAAATAAAATATTGAAATGTAGCATTTATTTGAGGTACCTCCACAAAAACACAATATATAGCAATTAAAATGAATTTTTAATAATGAAAATTCTTTCTTGAAGCTTTTATTTTAGTTTTAATATCAAACTGAGAGATTAAGTTTAATATTTCCATTAAAAAAATACTATTCTGTATTTCAAAAGTAATTTAAATTGATTTGAAGGAAAAAATTTTTAAATTTCTAAAATTTTTAAATTTAGCACTATTTTTAGCAAAGTTTTATAAAAATGTAAATTTTTTTTTATTAAAAAAATCTTCCAAAAATAAAATGTACTTTTCTCAAACTTTATTTGATAAATATTAGCGGATTTAAAGTATAATTAATCTGACTTGAGACAACTATTATTTTTTTTTTAGTTTAAATATCACAGAAATGCATTTTTCAATGTGACAGTAGATTGATTATTTATGTTCACATTTGCATGACAACTCAATGACGGATATATTGTTATCTAATATTGTCCTACACAGGCTTTAACCTTAAAATAAATAATTGTGGAATATAAAGCAAACACCTTATAAGTACTCGGTAATCTTAAAAATTTAAGAAAATATTATTCATAATCTAATGTTTTATTAAATTTGGGCTCTAAATTTACCATAGTTGTAACTCTTATTTTCTGATAGTGTCGTGTATGGGCAAAATAAAATTTAGCACATTTTTACACATACAAAAATTATTCAAAATTTTTTTTTTTTAAATATTTAGGGGTGTCAGATTCTAATAAGCGTCACAATATACAAGTAGTAAATATAGTTTTACTTAATAACAATCTTTCCTAAGAATTTGTTTATTTCTGTAAAAAATTTTTCATGTGAGTGTATACAGTAGTTTGTAAAGGACAATTATTCACCACAAATATCATATCATAAAATTAATGCTTTCTTTAGAATTTAAACAAATTTAAAAATTAATAACATGCACTATATATTTATTTTAACTGAATCAAAATTGCCTTTATGTATACATGCACACACACACTATTTAAGGTTACTTACCCTCTCCAGTTGGAGTTCGATGACATGAATAATTGCTCAATCTTAGGTTAGTTTTACAGTGATCACAGCGCAAACAACCACGATGAAAGAACAGCCCCTCAGCACTCATACGTTCCATGATATAAACTCTTCGCTTACAAAAGTAACAGAATTCACTGGCTGGTTGAGCAGCTGCTAAGGTAGGTGTGGATTTCTTTGGAGAAAAATTTTGAATATGTATAATAAAATATCACAAATACTTTTTAAGAGAAAAATCATAAAAGGGTATTTTAAATTCTCATTTGTTTATAGCTTAACATATTTTAATAAAGAAAACTGTATATTTTTTTAAAAACTAATTATTCACCCAATACAAGATTCCTGAGCCACTCAAGGTAGAGGGTTACTGGTTGAGATTGTTGTATGTAAGAAGAGGAGGTAAGAAGTGTAGTTTAAAAGGATATGTAGGAAAGATACTGGTTAACCCTAGACTTACGGAGGTTAAGATTGTAGTGATCAGAGAAGTATCCACATGGAAGTCCGTTCTACAAAGCAGCACTTCTTGGGCAGAAGCTGTCCAAGTGGAACTTACTTCTTAATAACAGAATATGAAGGGAAGGGGAATGATTCGTTCCAGTATACAAGGCATGACAGGTACTAGCTGTGAAGGTCAGGGCTGGTGGAAATAAAGAATGTGGTTCATCAGAACATTTACCATGGAAATAGAATAACAAGAGGCTTGTGATGTTTCATCTGTGGGATAGTGGTCATAGAGTGTAAAATAATTCCTCACCCACAAGGCTACAAAGATGCTTCTTAACTATCAATGCTGGAAAGTGAAGACTGGACAGCTCTAGCCTAGATATGGCAGCAATACTCCATTTTTGGTCTGAACTGGCTTGGGTAAAGATAGAGTATAGCAGGAGTCAGGTACTTAAAGGAGTGGTACAAGGAACTGACTAATTTTTCAGCATCTTTAATGATGGTTCATATATATGAGTTCCACTTGACATCTGTGTTGAATTTTAGTCCCAATAGGCATTCAAGGAAAGAAGCCTCTTTGAGAGAAAAACCATTCATTATGATAAATGAAAGTTCAGGGTCTGTTCAGTCTGTTCAGCAGTGAAATGTTACTAGTTTGATTTTGGAGGTATTGAATGTTACAGACCAGTCCTCCTATCAATGAGCTGCCAAAGCTAGGTCAGAGAAGAGATCAACTGCAAGCCTTCCATCTAGTGTTTTGGAGATGCACCCAAAGCAGAAAGAGGGTAAGACCAAGAAAGGAGCATTAGGGAACACTTGCACTGAACACACAGAAGATTGATCCTTAACAATGACCTTAATGGACCGACCTATTAGGAATGACTTGACAATTGAGAAATCTCTTCCAGAGATTCCATAGCTTGAGAGCTTGTGTATGCCACACCTTGCTATATCTAAGGCAATTAGTCTAGTGATGAATTTATTCTCTAGTGCTCACTGATTCTGTGTGTAATGACAGTTAAAACATCAGCAGTGAACCTAGAATACCAAAATCATACTGTTCATCACTTAGGAGATTCTTCTTCTTGATCAGAGAGTTTGATGTCACAAAGAAGGCCGGTAGATTGATATTGAGCGCTCATCTGTATTCTTGAAAACAGGGCATACAGCAGATACCTTCCATAGACTTGGGAAGCATTTCTGTTCCTGGCAGAGGTTAAACAATTTAGTCAAGATTAATGGTAGTTCTAGGCAATTGTTCTTTAGAACAACCACCAGAATTTTATCTGGACTAGTAGCCTTTTTTCAAGTCAAGGATTTTGATCAATCTGCATACTCCTCATACTGTGATAGAGACATTACAAAGTTTGTGCTTCATGAAGAGCTTGGTCTTCTCTGACGAGGATAAGATAACCATTTATAACAGTAGGCACTAACACTTTGCCTCTATGGAGAATTTTGTTTAAAATTTTTCAGAACTCATGAGAATCAAGTCTTTTGCTTAGCTTGAACTGATTGTGCATAGTTGCTCTTTGTCTTTTCTAGAACTTTCTTGCAGTGATTGCAGGCAGTTCTGAATGCAGCAAGGGTCCTATTACACCATTCTCTGTGATAGGAATGGCAGTAGTAGTTATGGTGAGTTATGGCTATAGCACATTCTGGTGTAAACCAAGGTTGCTTATTCAATTTTTGTCGATATTTTTTCTGGGGGATAATATTTTCAAAGGATCCATTCAGAAATGAAGGCAGAAGTTCTTAAAGTTCTATTTTTGAATAATGCCAAGAGAGGAGTTTCCACCATGTAAAATCTGAAGCTATCCTAGTCAGTTTTGGTATACCAAAAAACTGTCCTTTGGAATGGGACATCAGGAGATGCCTTTAGTTTGGCATCAACTTTTACACTTGCCAGTAAGTAGTCTGAGTGCCTAAGGTAGGTAACATTTTTCAGTGCAGGATGTGAGAAAGAGATTGAGGCAGTTTGCAAAATGTACTATTGTATCAGGGACACAAATGGGCTTATCCATCATCTGGATCAGTTCATAAGCGATAAAAAAGTTTTGATAGTATTTTCCTCCTTCATCAGTTTTGTTTGAGTGGACTAATCACTCTTTGTGGTGAATATTGAAATTCAAATATGAGTGGTAGGTGGGGGGTGCGATCAGAAAGGATATCATTAATCTTCTTAGTTATTTGTTGATCATTACAGTTCCATCATCCTATGGACGATAGTGAAAATGAAAGATGTACTGCGAATGAGTGCCACATGAAAGCACATGAATAAAAAATCATGGTCTTTGTTTTCGTGGTGTCTGCCACATGGGAACCCATCCTTAATATAAGTGCCAAATCCATGGCCATAGCAATTTTGAGGGTCTTGTTTTACTACTAAATGTGAATAGTCCAGGATTGTAAGTTCCTGTACTGGGATAGATAGACCAATACCAGTTTCCGACAGGAACAAGAGGTTGAGTTTAAGATGTTCACCTCCTGGAAAGTTGGATCTTAAACCCCACACATTGGTGTAGGAGATGGTGAGCCTGGAGTCTACTTTTGTTTTAGTGGGCCTGGATTTGTTTCTTCTGTCTGATTTTCTTGCGGTCATGGTAAGACATCATATATTGGAACAGGTGAAGATGAAGTAGTGAAACAGTCACACCTACAGCAACTTGGATTGAATTACAGAAGTACAGCCATAACTGTAAATTTCATCATGGCATAAAGAGATCCCCACCAGAGACTACTGCTCAGTCCAGATACAATTCACAAAATGATAGTACAATAGCCATGATATTATACACCTGCTGATGGATAGTCTCCTCAAAAGTTATTCTAAGATTCAGATCCCTGACTATCAGATAAGCCAACCCAGAAAATGCTTAACTCTAGTACTCTTAATGAAGAGACAAATAATCTAGGAAAGGAGAAAATACAATCATACTACTTGTAGTGCATGTATTTCATCTACACAGAAATTAAGGTAATAGAATCATCATGACAAAGCTGGGAGCCCAGGCACCAAGACAGACTTGCCTGCATATGAGGACTAAAAAGACTCACTGGAAGAAGATGGGGGTTACAAAGGTTGCTTGGGGAATTACCTCCATTAAGTATGCATTATTTAATTAAAAAGTATATTTTTTTTACTTTGAAGAGACAAAAATATTTACCAAGAGACTTTAAATAATTTATCAAAAGGTGAATTTGATTTTATACGAGCTGATAAGAATCATGAAAATAAATGTACAAAAGTACAGTTTACAAAATAGAATACATAAAATAAAAGCAAACTATGAATAATTGAAAATACACTTGTTTTCTTATTCTATAAATGATGGAAATATTTTAATAAGTGGTCTTTGAATAAAATGAACTGTTGAAAATTATGAAAAATATTGTTTAAAAAATAATTTTATATACTTACAATTCGTTTAACTGGAGGAGGCAGTGGCTGAAAATCTGCTTTGAATTTTGATGCAAGAATCTCAGCCATTGCACTCACATTTACTTTACTCTGAACTTCCCTTTTGTCTTTTTTCAGATCTTCAAATCGCCAGTTAGAATTTAATCTGCTGCTGATCTCACCAATTGGTAGTTTTGAGAAGCTTTTCAATTCAACAGGTGTCTGCTTTAAAAAATAGAAAAAATTCTCAAAATCAATTGGTTATAGTTTAAATTCTTTAAACTTTTTAAAATTTTAAATTTTGTTTTCACTAGTTACCTGTAAACATTTTTCCAGTTTCCATATCTATTAAACCCTAGCCAAGATTATTCACTAATCAGATTTTACAGTTGTTAAAAGTAAAATAATACCTAATAGAAATCACAAGATTTAAAATAATTTAAAATATTTAAAATTTGTTTATTTTTAGCATCATAATTGTTCTATTTATCTTGGAAGTTGATGTGCTAATTTGGTAAAAGTCCTTGTTTAGTGATTATTAAAAAGAAGATAATTAGTGAGCATTCAGAGAGTGGAGATGTTTTTTATACACTTTATACATTATTGAATTTTTCTTCTTTGAACATCATCCAAATTTAAATTATCTAAAGGTTATAAAAACTTATAGGCAGCATATAGGCAGGTTGTATACCCTTATGATTAAACCAGGCACAAATTAAACTGATGGATTTTGTGTAAAGGTTAAAATTAACAAATAAATTTAATGAAAAGATAATATACATAATTTTTTTTTAAAGAGAATAGATGTGACATTTCAAATTAAATGTTAATTAGCACCATGGTATAGTAAATAGGGTTTGAATGCAAATAATAATAAGGAATGCAAATAATAAATGCATTTAAAATTTTATAATAGACTCTCCACCCTAACATGAAGTTTCATTAAAGACAGCTGACAAAGCACTGCAATTAAGTTTTTTATTTAATTTTTCTTGTGTTCATATAAGTGTTTTCTTTTCTAGACATAAAGTATGTAAAAATTGTCCAAATGTTCTGCATATCCGAGCACTTTTGGCTATTCTTTTAGCCATTATCAAGGATGATTTTTATTTTTAACTGAATGTATGGATTTTTTATGTATGTATCTAAATTTATAGGAATGTTTTATTTTCTAAACACAGTCAGCACATTGAAGCCATATTCATAGTTGATGTTATTGAGTGTTGGCTTTTTCTTATTAGTTCTTCCATTATTTTTAGTCTTTTTTTACATGTGGATGAAGCTATTATCCTTGTATTTTTATACATATGTTGAGGATAGAGTTTGGTAGGTATGCATGTGTGTTTAAATGAATCCTAATTGAGCTATGATCAGAGAGATGTAATGTGAATCTTCTTGATAGGCATGTAGTGGTATGTACAAAATAATTATTCATAAGTTTGCTTTGATCAGGAACACAGATTTAATTAAAATTTAATTAAAAACATTTTTATGCATTTTTTTTGTTCCTTCACTTTTTTGTTTGTTTTAATTTTATTTAATATTATTTTACATTTTTTTCCTCATTTTATTCTTTTCATCACACATCATTTTATTCTTTTCATCACACATAACCACAACCTGTCTTTCTACACTTGACAATTTGGTCTGACAATTTTTGCTACAACTTGCAACTTTCCCCCTCACCAACCTATAACTCTCTTCATCTATGTTTACAATCTCACTCCCCCTCATGACACACACTAGTAATAATAGACCTGCCTAATGGTTTTACACAAATCAAAATAAATTTAAGTTTATTTTCATAAAAAGTTTCACACATCAAGTAATCAGACAGAAATTGTGTTTTTGCTAACAATATGATTTCTGCTGGAAAATACCCCAACTACAAAAACATCTGTCAGTGAGTAATTCCCATTTCTCTGTTTATTCCTTGATCTGTTGATGAAGGACACAGGCGTGTCCAAAAATTCCAAACTTAAAACCTTTCTCTGTGCTTTATTTCCGTCATATGGTTAATAATTAATATTTAATAAATGTTTAACATACTGATTGTATTGATACCCTTTTATTTGTCCTTGTTTTATTAACTAACCTATTTTATACACACACACACACATATATATATATATATAAGGATTATTATACTATAAAATATTACAATGACATTTCCTGACAATTTTAGGCAATATCATTTGTAGCAAAAGGAGCTATTATTTTAATTTAAATATTTTAAGGATATTTTTATATTAAAAATATTACAAAACATTGTTCTTCTTTCACAAACATAAATACCGTTTATAAACAGTATTTTTAAAGATAGAGAAAAATTTATAAAAATGTGTACATTTGTTTAACATTGGAGTTAGAAAATTGTAATAATTAGTTTTTACAAAATTTCATGAAAGAACGAATAGTATAGACATACTAATAAGCAGCTTCATTAATTTAGATTTTCTGGGGTAGTAATTTATTATTCCACCTCATTGCATCAAAAAGAATGTTTAATATGTGATAAATATTTTCTGTAATATAGAACATTTCCTTAAAATGTCCTGAATTTTTTTTAATAAAATTTATTTAAGTGTAAGGGTTTTTAAAGCAACAAATTCAGAAAAAAGATTATGAAAATCTATACCCATTTAGTATGTATAAACAGTTTAGTTTCAACTTTATTTGAGAATGAAAGTTAATGATGTGAGAGAATTTGTTGAAGAATATAAAACTAATAAAATTTAAAAAAAATTAGATTAATTACTGGAATTAGTCAAAGGATATATGTGTGAACATGTACTAGTGTATTAAAGAACAAGTCAAATTCTAGCAAACTCTTGATGCATAATATAAAAATTTAGCATTTTTTTAATATTTCTCATGTATACAAAAATTAATTTTCTGAGTACAACATTAATCCTATATATAAGCATATAAAGTTTGATTATGTTGGAGAAGACATGTAAAATGTTATCTTCACATTCTCTTTTCAAGCCCTGTTGTGACACTAGTAAGATAAAATCAAATCTGGTGAGTGAAAAAAAATTGAGAGTTTAAATTCAAGCTTTTTCTAGTCATATGGTTGGGAAACATAATGACAATTTTAAGTCTTATTTTTAGAAAAAGAGTTTGTAGTATTTGAAAGAGACTAATGTTATTCCAATACAAATGAATCCAGTAAATATACCACAAATTATTGTACAATAGTCTGTAAATAATTATAACAAACATCATTAACGATAATAAATGAAAAAAATATCTTTAGTATAACTAAGCTAAAGGCATATTAGTTATTATTTCTAGAAACCAATTGTTTACTCAAATGTTTTTTTTAATATTGTTTCAAGTACAGTAATTTAGCTAATTTGTATTAAAAATTCTATAAATGCTACATTAAAAAATTATAACAAGCTGAATTTAAAACCGAATCAATAAAAATACTTCATATATTTTTTAATAATAATAATAATAATAGTAATAGTAATAATGTTAATAAAATGGAAAAAATATGTGAAAATTATTTTAACACATTTTTTTCAGGCTAGCAGAACTTCTGCCAAAAAGCATTCAATAGATAACTAGCGTTATAATCTTACTTATTATAAAACGCAGATTGTGTGTGTGTGTGTGTGTGTGTCTGTAACGTTTATATATTGGATTGGATTTCCTACATTTTTCAACCGATTTCAACAAAACTTCACAGGACTACATAAAATTACCTTGTGGTGGTTCTAACAGTGCCAAAAATGGGAAAAATACAATTGTTTTTGCACAAAATCAATTTGAAAACATGATTAAGAGACATCATGAGAATGAAAGGGGGACAACTCACATCGGGTTTGTGTGTGTGGGTTCCTTTAAATATGGGATCGGATTTCCTACATTTTTCAGCCGATAAAACAAAAATTCACTTTTTTTTTTCTTTTTGGCAGGTAGTGTTTCTTATTCTCTTGCACACTTTTTTCTTTATTTTTAATATTCAGAATGCTTTAAAAATTCCATTTACAAGACAATTGTTTATAATAAAATTCAATTCAATCGGGAGACTCATAATGATTGAAAACAATGTTTTTGTTTGAGTTTGGGTTTGACCAATTCGTAAAAAAAAAAAAAAAAAAACAAACTAATTAAGACATGCATGTCCGTCAACCTTAAACAATAATCTTTGTCAATTTTATTTTTCAGTCTTTATAATGGTGGATACTTGATCTATCTCTTACTGTTATATAGGCGAGCAATGCCGGGCTCTACTGCTAGTGTTCAATAAATCAAGACTTCAAGTGTTTCATTTGGTTAACTGACTAAAGTGTTTTGCACTTGAGCATTTGATTTATTGAATATTTCTTTTGTAAATATAAAGATATACAGAACCCAATCAGATTTTCATTGGAATTGAAATTTAGATATGGGAAAGTAAAAATTCAACCATTTACAAGGTTTTCTTTTTTTCTTTTTTATTATAGCTGAATTTTAAAGGAAGTTAGGGTCCAGTTATGTGAGTGATAATGATAACTAAGATTTTTAATATGTCTCTCTCCAAACAATTCTCAGTCCATGTTAAAATGAAGTAAACTATGTATGTCATAGGTTTTGTGTCAAATATATTATTTCTTTAAAGCAGGTGATTTGGTTATGTAGAAAAATGGTTATCTTCCTGCATTGGTAAATCTTTCAGAATGCACATATATATATATATATATATATATATATATATATATATACACACACGCACACACATACATACATACGCACACACTGAAATTTATCATTTAGGTATTTGAAAATATCTCTCTCTCTCCCTCTCTATATATATATATAGAGAGAGAGGGGGGGGGAAATAAAGTTCACCTAATAAGAGTCTTGTAAATATTTATACCCACAAGTTCTAGGGTATTTTTTAGATTTACAATATTGATCCGTTTTTAATTAGATCTAATGTATGAATAAATAAGCAGTCTTTTACAATTTATTCAAGTTCAAAATATTACTCAATGATTCTTATTTAAAAGTCAATTATTTATAAATTACTCTGAAGAGAGTGCTTTAAATAGAGTCTTAGACAATAAGTGGTAACATGTTTGTTTTTATCTTCACTGCTAAAAGACTAACCTCTTTTAGTTCACTGGTGTGTCGATTTCCAAAGGTCAAGCTTTCCTCCTCCGTTCGACCTATCTAGAAAAAAAATAATTTTATTTAATGAAAAGATTTTTTCAGTACTAGAAGAATTCAGTTATATGCATGTCTTAACATTTAATTTTCAAATCTCAATCACATTTGATAAGCAGAGAAAAAAAAAAACAAGTCTTTATATCTGTTTTCTGTTCAAAAAAGGATTTGAAAATTGTTAAAAATTCAAATAATAAAAAAAATAAAAGTAGTATTGGGGTTAAATTAAGTTTGACTTATAAACCTAAAATTTGTTGAGAGAATAAAATCATAAAATCACTGCTGAATACTTACTCTCTTATGCCTGGAAAAGCGGTTGCTTATTTTTTGCAGAATTGACAAACGATGAGATGGAGATCTATACGGCTTGGGTCCTTCTTCAGGTGTTAGGGCTATATTTTCTACTAAAATTTAGAAGAAGTAAATTATAAAAATTAAAAAAAGAAGCCTTGTGCAATATTTTATACAAATATACATTTATACAAATATTAAGTACAAAATACACAATATAAAATTAAAAGATTATGATTATATTATTTCATAAAATTTGTATGGAAAAATTAAAATTCATATAATAGCTTTATAGTTGATTATCAATAATCACCATCTTAACATGAGAACAAGTAACCTTATCATCCTTTAAAGTCAATTAGTTTAGTTTCTGACTTTAAACGAACAAAATCTAAAATAAGTAGAGCATACTGAAAAAAATTCCTTGAATTATTTAATCAGTCTTCAAAATTTTAATTTAAGCTTGTACAACATTAGTAATTTAAAGATTATTCAAATTGTAAAATACTATAATTTATGATACATACATTTTAAAATATTTGAGCCAAACACTTTAAAAAGCAAATTCTTAGCTAGAATTTTGGTGAAAAAAGTTACAAAAGCAAATTTGATGATTTTCATTAAATAGAAAGCATTGTTGATATTAAATCATTTTTAACTGTATAAAAATAAGTTTAAAAACGTTTTTGTAAAAGTGTATTTTTTATGATACTTACACTTTGGATGTTTTTCTTTTTTGAAAGCTACATAAAATTGTGAGAGATAAGAGACCATAGTCAACTTGTCAGGTACTTCACATTCAGCCATATCTTTACCGGTCATCACAGGAGAAATACCCAGTTCTTTTTCAGCTAAATCAAAAGCCTTTAAAAAAAAAAAAAAAAAAAATGAACATAGACGAAAAAAAATAAATTTTAACAGTTTATAAAAATTTTAGATTTTTAAAAATTGTGCTATTATTTTGAATGAATTATTTCTAAATCTTTGTAAACATAGCCACATTCTGCAGATACATTTTTAATATGGTTATTTTATTTACTAGCAAAAAACACAAATTAACACTTATTGTACCTCTTTCTTTCTTTTTCAGGTTTAAAATGAATTCCATCTAAAAATAGGCAGGATTATTTCAAAGACTAGCAAGACTTAATTTTGCTACTGTCATTTTTAAGTAGCTGCACAATTAAATTTCATGTAATCAACTAGAGATTCTTCATTATTTCAGTTTCTTTCATTAGATTTACCTTAATAATCCCATTGTTTAAATTTCAAATTATTTTATATTGTTTTTTAACTATGAACTTTCCAGCTCATTTCTACTTAAAAAAATTGGTTTTAAAAAATAGAAATAAAATCATTTGAACAGAATATTATTCTAACCAAAGGAAATAAAACTACATTAGCACTAAGCAGCATCATGAATAGGTTGTTAAATTCATAAGGAATTAAGTTAACAAAACTAATGAAAAAATTCAAAGAGTATAAACAAAAATGAATAGCATATCTATCTGAATTTGAAAAACAAATTTATATTATCAATACAAAATATGTTGTGCAAGATGTAATACAGAATCTGGTCAGCCCGATAAAAGACTCCAAGTTGGTTGTATGTGGTTCTGTAAGCACCGGGAGTTGCGTCCTCTTCCACAATGGGCTGTTGAGAGAAGACCTTCTACTTAGAGTAAGTGGTGCTATTTGTATAGCAAAGATACTGGGCAGGAATTAGCCAATAGTCAGCATGTATGGCCACAGTCATTATCTAACCTTGATTGACTATGGACCAACATGGTTTGGCAACCCCTAGTGGGACAAGATTCTGAAAGCATTATTTGGCAGTGGGAGTCGATATTTTGTGAGAGAGGTGCACCATACAAAATCTTTACCGACAATGATACTGTGTTCACCAGCAGGTTATTCAAGGTTTTCATGGAGGAATGGGGTGTCCAGTGTGCACATGTACTGTCCGTAAACAGGATAATAGAAAGGTGCCATAGGACCATAAAATGGATTGCGCCGTGGAAGCAGTGTCCCATACAAGAAGCCATTTATTGGTGTAATGTGACACTGAAGGATGGCACATCAAGCCCAATTGCGTCAGCTAATGCAATTCATGCTTATGAGGTTAAGTTCAAGGGCATTGATGCTATACCTGCACTAACATCATGGACAGTGCACAAAACCTATAAAGTCGGAGATGTAGTGTGAGTGAGACCACCCCAGAACCGATGTACCTCCAAATTTACAACTGGGAAAGTCACTGGGATCATTAGTCCACAATCTGTCCTGATTGATGGCATGCCGCATCATGTTAAAGACCTCCGACCTGCATGGGACGGATGCTCTGCCACAAGCAACACTGATGATTTATCCATGAGCAATGGGGAGTTGGAAATAGATTCCTGGATTTTCAATGAGCCTCCTGCTGCAGTGAAGATGGATAGTGACAACACTGAGGATGAAGTACATCCCACACATAATGACAGCAATGAGAACAAAGTACCTCCCCTGTGAAGGAGCATCAGAAGGAAACATCCACCCACTGCATGTTGGTGCTGTGATCAGATCGGGGAGAGTGTAACAGAGAATCGGGTCAGCCTAATAAAAGAGTTGGTTGTATGTGGTGCTGTAATCACCAGGAGTTGTGTCCTCTTCAACAATGGGCTATTGAGAGAAGACCTTCTACTTAGAGTAGGTGGCGCTGACTATTTGCATCTGAACAATACTGGGCAGGTATTAGCCAATAGTCAGTGTGAGTCTGGGTCTGGGAGAGCTATATAACACCAGTTTTTCTCCTCAGTTAAGAGAGGCGCTCTCAACATGTGGACATGCAAAAATCAGACAAGATGATCACACATATATTTTTAATCTAATTTGTGAATAAGGGGTCTGCCTACTTCATGACTATTATAAGCACTTGTGAATACAATGATTATCCTAGCCCCTGTTATAATTAGCAGTAAATGATAAAATAGCAAAATCGTTTATACTCACCAGTTGATTGTTCTTCACAACCTCAGTTTCATTGAGACTATCAAAATCACTAGAAAAATTAACAAAATTCTCTTGAAGTTTTCTTTAAAAATGGTATTTACAAGATACAGTGACATACCAAAAGTTATGCAAAGGTAATGTTAGTTGGCATCACTTTACCTTGACATCATGGAAATGCCCAGACCTATATTAGCTGTGCTTTGACATATAGTGAGTTAGTGTGAATACCAGTTAGGTAGTGATGTGATATTCCTCAATCTGTGGTGTCATGTGTGTGTGCCAGGAATACCTGATGTAAGGTATTACAGCTCACCATTGACAGAGGTGTCTGGCTAGAAATATTTGCAGTAAAAGACAAGTAACACTAGCTCAAATCACATCCACATTCAGTGCAGGAAATACCAGATGCACATTCAGTATAGTGACCTCTACTTTCTATAGAACATGGGAGCAGAAGACATCCCATGACATCAGACACAGCACTTCGCTTGTGACATTGACAATTGGACACTGAAAGACTGGCAATGTGTGATGTGATCTGATGTATCATGGTCCCAATTGTTTCTGTCTGATGGTAAGGTTTAGGTGTAATGCATGCCCCTTAAGGCCATAGAATATAGTTGTCAACAAAGCTCCATGCAAGCTGGTGGTGATTCCATAATTGGGTTGAGTATGTTCATATGGCAATGGTTGGTTCTGGTGGTCTTCCTAAAGACATTGTTAACTGTTGACTACTACCTTGCACTGCTTTATATTATTTGCATCTATGCAATGATAGGTTATTCCAGAAGGAATGAACAAAGTAATCAGGTCCAAGTTGCTTAAAATTGGTTTGAAAAGCATTATGGAAACTTGACAAATGCTGTGGCCACCATATTTAAGCATTTATGTGATGTGACCAAAAGGTCTAGTCACATGCAAGATTCTATACCTACAAATATCTGGGAGCTGGTGACAACTTTTGAGATGCCATGGCTCAACATCTTTTCATATATCTTCAAACCACTTATGGAATTGATGCCCTGTCAATTTGCTAGACTTTGCTAGGTTAACAGGGGAGTGGGTTCTACACAATACTAGGCACCTCTCCCATGACTTTTGGTACATATGGAAGAAGTTATATACATTATAAAATATCGTACAAAATTGATTTGAAATTTAGACAAAGAGAAAGACTAACAAATGAAGATATAATACTTACATGAGATCAGGTCTGAATGTATTTAAAAGGGCACATAGTGCCAAACCAGACTTCCAAGAGGAAGTAAAATCTACAATATTTACATTGGAGTGCTTGCCAGTATTAAGCACACGCTGACACCATCGCAGCAAAGTGTAGCTGTCAATGAAATCATCTGAAATAAAAATGAAAGAATTATTAGTTAAAACTAAACACAAACCAATTTTATAATTCACAAGCCTTTTATACTTTAAATGAACTTGTCATAAATATTCATTAACAATGTAAAAAAAATCTAATTCATTTTTGGCAATATTTTCAAATTTATTTTCAAACCAAAAGTTTCCAAGCAGGACTGCAAAAATGGTACAATTTGTCTCCCTATTTCATGAGCTACCTATGCAAAAATTTGCATTTCTTATACAGGTTGTTATCAAACCAATATAATGCAACTGCATGATATCCATCACAAGTTCCTTTATAAATATGAAGGTATATAGCCATCTACTTACCATTTCGAGGCTTTTTAAGTGGAATTTCCATTATCTCATCTCTGTAAGCATCATCCTCATCACATTCATACAATGGACGAACTTGTTCATGTCTAAAGAATTTTGAATTTAAGTTGGGATACCTTCAAAAATAATAAAGAAAACATTTTTATAATAATTGGATGTTTTTTTTAATATTTTGAATATCATTAGTAATTCTTTGATTAAAAAAATATTATTATTATAATTTTTAATAATTAAATTAAATATTCATCCATCCATGCTGATCATTTAAAAAAATGTAGATGCATTGTTTTATAAGACATATTTTACAATATTTATAAAAAAATGGTCAAATTGTAGTCATAATAAAGTAATTTTAAAATAGGTTCTTTAAAGGCAGCCTTTTTATCAATACTTCAATTCTGCTGATCTAATCTACTACCAGGAAATATATTGTTGTAATATAAATAGATTATGACAATATATTTATATATTATGACAACTGAATTATCTTTATTTAAATAATCAACTATCATTTAATCATACCATTAATGATTTATGTTCATTTTATAAAAAAGAAATGAGAAAAAATAAATTTTTATAATTATCAAATTTTTTTCTCTAAATAATACAAGCATATTTTTACTGAATTACAAAATACAGTCAAAAATGTTCTTGTCTGTCATAAAAATAATTTAAGACTTTAGTAATTTTAATTTTGCAATGAAACAGGATCATTTTCACACTTTATGTAATAAGCATTATTATCATGACTGAACTAAATAAAGAATCCTAGTTTTTATATGCAAGAATACACTGTTTAAGACAATACTACAGCCCATCAATGTCATTCAACAAAGCATTCATTTGTTTTCATTTTAAAATGTGCTAATAAATAAAGTTAGTCTTATCAAATATCATAATATATTGCTGATCTTACCTAGTGTTTGGATCAATAGTATGCAACTGATAATTTTTGCTGATGTTTTCTGGTTTTGTCTGTGACAGTAACCGGTAGATACTTTCTCGTTCAGCAATCACTTGAAGAGGAGTCATTTTGCCAGAAGCCCAACTGCGAATCATCCATGCTGAATCAAGAGCACCGAGAAAACCACGAGCACAGCCAGATCCTGTTGGCCAAAATGGCTAAAAAACAAAAACACAAAAATATATCAGAAATCCTGTAAGAGGTATAATATACAAAGATAACATATAATAAGAAATACATTAATACTATGTTAACATGTGTGTGTGTGTGTGTGTGTATTTTTTCACACACAAAGTTGCTGAAAAGTTTTAGGAAGTTGTCCAGGCCAAGAACTTTTCAATAACCCCTTGTGTTTGTATGTACATATTAGTAAATATATAGGGATATCGATAAGTTTGTAGGTCAATAAGGAATAAGCATTTATTTTACACAAGTATTTTTCAATATAATCTTCCTTAATACACTTAATTCAAGGGTAAATATTATATATCAAACATTATACATTAAAAATTTCAGATCTAAATTGTATTCTCACTTGTACATATGTATATAAAGATAGTAAATATCATCCTGTGAGACATTATTTCAGGTCTCAATACAATAAGGAATATCGATGGGCTGACTGAATAAGTTAGCTGTCATCCGAAAATGTCCCATACATTTTCAATGCTTTCAATGGGGAACAGGTCTGGCAACCATGCTGGTCACAGAAGATCATGCAGTCTATTGAATAGTATGGACATCCTGTGGTGGGTATTATCCTGCTGGCAGATCATATCACCTTCCTGTTGCAGGAATAGCAACAGAATGGGTTGAACTATATTCTGGATATACATGGTGCTTTTGAATGTTTCTTCCATAAACATAAAAAATTATAGCACTCTCCACCATGATGCCAGAATTGGACCTATATGTCATGGGCAAATACACTCTGGAAGACACAACTTTGCTAGGTTTACATTGCATATGCAAATAACCATCACTTGCATAAAGTTCTTAACACCAAATATAATAGAGTGCCATTTAATTTGGCATGTTGAAATCTGTCTACACAGCTCCATCATCCTACTGTATAAAAATGATTCACAAAGGTCCATTTTGCTGAGGTCATATTTTTGCTGATCTATGCTGTGGATAACACAGTCTGACACTGCTGCTCTTACAATGCAGTGATTTTAAGGAATGTCTGTATTACACGGCCATCCAGAATGGGTTTAGGAATGTTAATTTGAACACTGCTGCCAATATCAAAGCACAGTAATTGTCTGAAATAATCATCCAACCTTCCAAAAATTCCTAACCTGACTCTCACTAAATGGTAACTAACTGAACAAATACTGGCTGTATCTATGTGATATCATTAGAGAATTCCCATTTTATTTTCTGTGTGTTCATGTGTTTTTTATATATTTATTACACATACATACATACATACATACATACATACACACTTACTTACAAGCATAATGTTAAACAGTTATTTCCCAAAATTTATCCTAATGACTAAATATCAAAATGTGTTTTGGAATCTCTTCTTGGTCAAGCCAAGAACACAATACATGATAAACCTTTTCTTAAGAATACTACGAGAGATGCATTTCAGGAATGTATGTATGACTATATATTTGATAGGCAAATCTTTTGGCAAAAAGTCAGAAATTATTTTAAAAAATTGGTGGTTCAATTCAGTATATGTGGTTTCACATTATATAGGTATTTTATAACTCCATATCTAATTACTGTGATGTCCAGAAAAGGAAGAAAAATAATTTGGACAGTTCCTTAGCAGACAATGCAAATTATAGTCAAATTTTCATTTTTGCAAAAGCATAAACATACAGGGCAGTAAAAGATTGCTCACTTTAGTACCAATACAGATCTCTGAAATTAATAAGTCAACTGAAAGGTACCAGTGTTTTAAGGCACCTGAAAAGGAGTACAGCTCATTAAATAGTGTAAGGATTACATGAGATTAATGAAGAATTCTTTCTTTCTGCATCATAGCTTTTAAGCTATGATTAGAGATTAATTGTTCTCTCTCAGTGTATTTGTACATGCAGAAAGTATGGGATATTGTAGAGCTGAAGAAAACAAACCTACATAGTATTATATAAAGAGAAAAACAGAAAATATGTCAACAGAAAAACAAAGGAAAGCTATGAGTAGATTAAAAACTTTTTAGAAGGTTCATTAAGTATTCTTTACTAGAGGAAAAATTGATCTGAAAATCTTTTAAACAGATAAAATAACTCAAATTTTTTTCATTTTACAAGATGAGATTCATCATAAAGATAATTCTTTTGAATACTTAAAAATTAATATTAAAAAAACTTAACTACTTTTAAGAATATTTATGACATGTCCAAATGGAGAATACACTATGAATATGATATGATTCTATGTGGAAAGAAGCAGTACAGTTTATGTATTTTTTGTGATGTTAGACGCTCACTCGTAACTTTTGTTAGGTCAATGAATGCTCATTTATCACTTCTGAAATGCTTGTTGTAGATGAGACATTGTAACACAGGCACTGGTAGTAGTAATGCCTTCAAATAATATTGGCACTAATAATATTTGTTCAAATATTAATTGCCAAATAGTAATTCATATAATGATCAGCATAGAGAAATAGTATAGTGGATAGTATAGAGAATAGTGATCACTTAGATGTCACATCTAATTCCCATTTATACGTTTCCTTTATGATCACATGATCTACTTATTTAATAATGGAATCATCCGTGTTTGCTCACTGGTGATCTGTGTTCAAATTATAGTGTCAGCAATGACACTTTATCCCTATACAACACCTCCCTTTTGAGATGACTTCCCCTAGACTCTATACTTTTTCAGCTTTGGTTCGATTGCTAGAAACTATGTTGGCATTCTTTTCCTTTTGCCATAAACCCTTGGTTGAACTATTTCCGATGGTGCAGGTGCATTAAATGTGTCATACAGAATTTCCATTGGTACTTCTGTTTAGGGACTTTTTAACTCAGTGAACCTTTGTTTTAGCAGATTCAGGTCCCTATTGTATTCACACCTTTGTTCCTGTACCATATATGTCATTCTACCAATACGTTTTTTTTTTTAATGACGCTATCTTGCCAGAATTCCTTTCCGCGCTGATACACCCTGAAAAATACTTTATCTTCATGTCTGAAATATGTATTTGTATAGTTATTCTTTGATGTTCTTGCCTTGCTTTCAGGTAAGAACTTATTGAAGATGGACTTGATCTTCCTGATAAACATCAACTCAGACATTGTGTTAAGGTTTGGCGTAATTTGGTAAAAACTTAGAAATTGTTGAATCATTACCTCATCTAACTCCTCTCCCTTTTATTTTCAATCAGTCAATTTATTTTTTCTCTTCTTTTTTATCTGTGTATATATATATATATATATATATATATATATATATATATGTGTGTGTGTGTGTATATATATATATATATATCTTTATGTTAATATATTTCTCACCACACTTAAGGCTTCCAATAGCCTGAAAATAAATGTTCTAGGTCAGATGCATAAACTTCCTGTTACTTTTTTTTCTGTTATTATTCTTTACTATTTTTTTTAAAATTTTGGCTGGATAAATTTAAACCATTTTGCAAATTTAAGCTATTTACATTTTCAGTCTGATGAGACTTAGTTGTCGAAACAAATCATGATTTTTTTCTTTTTTTTTTTTGCAATATGTTAAGTTTTTCCTTCGTGTTATTTGTGTGTGTGTGATGAAAATACTGGCATACCTCTAGCAAACTGTCACCAACTAGGGCCATTAACAATTTCTGTCCACGTTTGGAAATGACTCGACAAGCATTTTCAGCTTGAAAGAGGGAAGTGAAATCAAACATGGCTACATCAGCCTGCCCATAATGGTTCATTGCATAGTCCATGTGTGGAAGCTGATGGTTGGTGGAAAAATCGGCTGCTTCTCTGGCAAATGACAATAAAGCCTCTTGGTCAACATTTGAACGGGATAATAGGGCAACAGTATCAGCATAATCCTGTAAAATAATTTGTAAAATTGTTTTATAAAATTATTACATAACAATGTATGGAAATGGTCTTGTGAAAAAACATTAGATTGTTTCAAGGATATTATTTTAGAAAAATGTTTTCTTAATCTTCTATTTAAGTTTATTCTTCTATTTGAATTCATAGTTACTGTGGTTGTGAATGACTATTGATAAAAAGTGAACTGTTAAAAAAATGAAATTACTCAAAATAAAGATTTTAATCCCAAATTTGTTTTAATCATCATTATATTGAATTTTTCTTTTATAACATTTAAATATTTGTTTTTTAATTATCATCATAAAGCTTATAGCTTGTTACTCAGTAATATTTTAAGGGGTAAGATTAAAAATATATCTGTTGATAGCTTACTAAGACACTTTGTATTTAAAATTTTTGTAACAGATTGCATATAGCAATAATAATGGATTGATTAGTCTGTCGATAGAACAAAAAACTAAACCTATTTACAGTCACAATTAAATTAATATTTTTCTACATTCTGCTCACATTTGATTAGTTGCTCTCATTTAAAGTGACGTCAGTAACAACTTGATACACTGAAGTAGATTTATGTGCAGTATGAAAATAGAAAATAATAAAGAAAAATCCTTAAAGAATTTATATTTTTCAAACTACTTTCCTGCTTTTCAGTAAGAGTTGTCCAATGTTCAAGTACTTTCAGCTTTCATTAGCCTTTATAAGGAGTTTTTGTTCTTTTGCACTATGTTAGTTTCATTGTTTTTCAAATATTGTGTCTTTACACATCATGTCAGTCTTTTTTTAAATATCACATCTTCAGGTGTTAGTTTGTGTTGCATTACATTTTTATATCTTATTTCATTTGCCATTTATTAAATAATAGTTCAGTTGCATGTCACCAACCAACACAAGAAATCCATAATCCATTACCAATAACACAAAAATATTATATCATGAACTGTAAAAAATGACAACAAAAGCTAGAAGCATTAAGTATAAAAAACAACCCAATATCAATAAAATTTTATCAAACATACTAAATTAGACAAAAAATAATAAAAGCAATACAAATTCACACGTGAAGACAAAACTTTAAAACCAACATGTGTAAAGATATAATATTTGAAAGATGATGAAACTGACTTAGTAGAAAAAACAAAAATAAAAATGATGAAAGCCAAAAGTATTCAAATATTGGATAATTTATATTTAGACTTTCAGTAGAAACCAAAAGAATGGCCTGAAATATCAAAAATAAAAAAATAAAAAAAAAAATAATATCGTTAACAAAGAACTTTTGTTGGTCTTTAACCAAATGTATATGAACGAAAAATTGCTACCCAAATACACCCAATGTATATATTACAAGCAAACACACACACACAAACATTGAAAATTGTAATTCACCAGTTTAAAATTAAAGTAATCAAACAATGTCATAACATGCAATACGTACACAATATAAACTGATAGTGATCTTGATTTGAAAATCAAATCATCTGATCTGGAGATTTAAGTTTTTATATTTTGTCTTTGTATATATTCATTTTACACTAAGCAATGTAATTGAAAAAAAAATAACTGTGTACAAAAAGAAGAATAGAAAGAACTTACATGTTTTAAAACTCCTTTATCTAAAAGACTTTGCTTTTTAGCTGTCATAACAAAATAGTGGGTTGCATCTTTGTAGTACACAATGTTTTCTAAATCTATGCCAGTCTTTTCTTTAAGTTGATGAAAGAACTTTTGATTATAAATGAATGCAACGCCACTGATTTCTTCCACTCTAGCTTCAGCCTCTGTATTGCGATTGATGAAATTTGCCGTCACAGCAATGGCAAGCTTTCCTCGGAATTCTTTCCTTTGAAATCCTGTAACAATACCAAACGTGTAAGTGAAAGCAAAGAAATGCAACAGTTTATGCATCTATGTTCATCAATAATAAATTATACAGTTTTGTTAAAGTATTGATGGCTAGATAAGATTCTTTATGATAGTAAATGTTCAATTCACTTTGCCTACTTGTACTATGCCAAACACAAGTCCTTGTTATCTATAACAAACTTTCTATTTTAATCTAGCTTGTAAAATAATAGAAAGTAGCAAATTAATATCATCCAAAGAAGGCAATTTTTTATGTATTTCTTTAATGAAATATGTATTATCACTTTAAATATTTTCCAAATTCAGTAGAACATTAATATATTAAACAAAATAGTGAAATTAATGAGGAATGTCATTTTAAAGTATTTTTTAAAATTAAAATCCTATCTAAGTTTTTAAAATTAATCAGATGAGCCAACACTTATTTGAGATTTCAAAGAACACAAAAAAAATGTTTGCTTTGTTGATGTCAGACTTCAAAAGATACTTAATGTGGGAACTGTTAAATAAAAAATGAGGTTTTTGCTTTACAACAACTGCAGTAGTAATTAAATGTTTAAAATTGTGGATTATAATATGGTATGAGGAACTACTGGCCCACTTACCAAAATGCAAACAAATAACCAAACAGTACAATATTTTTTGAAGTTTTCAGAACAACTTAATATAATCTAAGTATCAATGAAATTGAAAATAATATGTACCTTTAAGTGTGTTTCTCTTGCCATCAGCACCAATAATAACATCAAACTGATACTCAGATACTGGATGATCCTGTGGGAAAATTAATGCACGCCAACCAATTTCTTAAAAAAAAAAAAAATTGAATTAAATAAAAAAAAGAATATTTAATTGTATATGTTTATAACCATTCAATTGGCCAACTTTCCTTGAATACACCTAAATTCTTTGAAATATACGAAAAATGATTTGCATTAAAAGCTAATTATATTTTTAAAATAAGATCACACATTGATCTGATACAGAATAAGCCTTATATCTAGTTTTCTATTTTTAAAAAATAAAAAAAAATAAAAATTTGTTCTGTTCTCAAATCATAGCATGGCAAATTACATATTGAAATTGCAAAAATACACTCAAAAAAATACTATCCATGATGTAAATATACATGAATCTAATTTATTTATAAAAAGTACCAAAGAGGAACAACCTTGAAATTTAAAATACAAATTTTTCATCAATTCAAAAGAAGTCAGTGATAAGTCAACTTCTAAGGAAATGCTTGTTCAAAAGTGCAAAAAACATACATTGTGAACTTGATAATTTTCACTTACTTTCTTTACTTTGGTCCTCTGGTGGTTCAATAAGATTTTTAAATGTAACATTGTTGTGGACCTCAACACCAAATATCAGAGCAGCTTTTAAAAGAATACACTGTAATTGACGAATACCTAAAAAATAGGAAAATAACAGAATTACATTTAGTTTCACCATTTGTCTTTATAAGTATTTTCAGGTGGCAACATGAACATTAGAACAAAGAATTATATAAACATTTCAAATGAAAGGATTTTGTGTAAATCTCTACATTATATATATTATATTATAGTAGTTTAAAATTATTTTAAATTATAAAAAAGGAAAGTACAGTACTGTAGTTATAAACAGATTGGCAGTAAATTATATACAGGGTGCGATGGGTAAATTGTCGCCATTTTATATTTCAAATTTCACAGATATGCGTTATTTTTGATTTTGTCGACTGCACAGTATAGTAGGGTCAGTTGGGCACCATCTGTGAGAAATAGAGCACCATGACAAAATTCATTCCACCACAAATTTGGAAATGTCATGCTGTACTGCTTGGCATTCATGCTGGAAGCTCCAATACAAACATTTCAGAGTGTTTGGGTGTCAATTGGAGGACAGTGCAGACAGTGCAGATAATTCAGAAAGAGTTGGATGAGTCTAATGGTGATTATGAAGGTGTTTGGAATGATCACTAGTGATGACAACGTTATGTCTCCATTCATCTTCCCACAGTGCCTCAGACTCAATACAGATGCCTATGTCAAGTGCATTGAGGAGGTAGTGCTGCTCTGGGTCAAGATGATGGCTGCTGGAAGACCCTATGTCTGGCAACAGGACTCTGCACCATGCCACACAAACAGGAGAACACAGACATGGCTATCAGACAATTTCTGTGACCACATCACCTCTCACATTTGACCACCTAACTCCCCAGACTGCAACCCCCTTGATTATTATGTGTGGGGTGCAGTTGAGCGAGAGATCAATAAAACTCCTTGTAACATCAAAGATGAACTGAAGGCAAGGATTATGGCAACATTCACCAACTTAAACAAGGAGACAGTCCAGAAGGGTTGCAGGAGACTCTAAAGTTGTCTGGAGGCCGTGGTTGAAGCCAATGTTGATTTTATTGAATAAATTTAGTCTTTAGTATCTGAAGATATTTTTGGGTAATATATCTGTTAAAATGAGAGGTCAGTGTTATTTTTATTTTTGCATAATTTAGACGACAATTTATCTATCGCACCATCTCTCTCTCTCTGTGCGTGTATGTGTGTGTGTACATGTGTGTGTGTGTGTGTGTGTGTGTGTACATGTGTGTTGGATTCTGCTGAGTCCTCTGATCTGGTTGGTTTATATATTTTGTATAAACTTATTGCTTATGAGGAGATCAATCTACATTGTATAGGGCTAGTTTTTGAAATTTGTTAATTACTTCCTCTTATATTTTAGAATAACCTTGTTGTGCCATATAAAGCATATCTTTTGTCTGTAAGATCAATTTCAACATAGTATTTTTATACATTATTCTTCTAGTACTGCTAATAATATTTAGTATATAGGTCTATGCGTTTGGCTGACATTTTGACATTTTCCAAGAATTAGTTTTATTAACACCTTATATAGGGCCCTTTAGGTAACAGCTGCATTTTATTTTGTATGATCTATATATTTTAATTAATTTCATACGATCTATATGCTTAAAGTTTTTGCTTGATATTTAAATAAACATGTTTGATCTCTATATTTTAATAATTTTGTGTGATTATTTTGTTTTCTCATGTTTTTTCACTTTTTCATTTATTTCTTAAAGGGCCATATTATTTACCATCTATAAAATTGTGAAATTCTAACTTTCAACTCACAAGGTACATGGTTTGTCAAGAGCTTTGTTAAATTATGTTTCCTTTCCCATAGGAAGTGTCATTTGTATTATGGTTACATTGTAGCAAACTTAAATGTATTGAATATAACGTCTAAACTGTCAACGATTTTAAATCTGGGGTTCATGACCTATTATTTAACAGACCATTTTGATTGGTGGATCTGATTATAAGCAAAACAAATTTTGCTGCTATCTCCTCCCACTCCTTTCTTACCATTTTTTCTTTATTCTTCCTTTTCTCTGGAAAAGAGAATGTATCTTGTGTCTTTCTTACTCTTTTTTTCCTTTTTTTTTTGCATGAAAAGCGGTATGTGGTTTTAAATTTTAGATTTCAATAAATTGTCTACCAACCAGTCATTTACTAATGCCTGATGAAGTGTGTTGGTACACATCGAAACATGATTGCATTTATGTAGCATTTATTCTCATATTGTAATATCCTAAAATAAAGAATACAGCTCTACTTTTGTATTGAGTCCTCTTTTAAATTAATGTTGCAAATGTTGGAATTTATATTTGATTCGTTCTCATTTCATTTTGAGATTATATATATACACACACACACACACACAGAGGCAGAAATACCTCTCACATAATGGCAAGATATTAGCTAGATGAAGACATTTCTGCTGCACCCTGTATATAAGATATTCAGCTCATGATTGTTTTACATTAGTATTTCCTTTTTTATGCAACCAATGAAAATCCTTTTTTTTTTTTAAAAAATGGAAAAAAAATAGAAAAATAGTGGAAAAGGATAAATAATCACAAAGTATGCAAGCAGCAGGAGTTAGATCAAAAACTGGTGAAGAAGTGATTTGGGAGTTATAAAATTAAAAGAGAAAAGATTGTAGTAAAAAGGTCAGTGTTGAAAAGGACAAAGAAAATGATGGCATGACATTCAACAAAAATGCTATAAGGCACATACAAGATAATATAAAAAATATCTGATCATTTTTGGCTGAATGGCAGACATTACAAACACTTTTTCTTTTCTTTTTAGAAAAGTTAGTCATTGAAAATTATTTTTTTTAATTTTAGTTACTTTAAATTTGGAAGAAATGTAGATCTGATGTTACAAACTTGGTGAAAAGGGCATTTTAGAAAGATAAGCAAAACATAAGAAAACAACATGAAAAAGAAATGTACAAATTTTAAGGTTATCAGGTCATTAATCACAATAGAAAGATGGTTTCAAAATGAAACTGTTCAAGGACAGCATGAATTATTAACAAATAAAAACTAACATTTACATAAACTGTTAAAGTTTGAATAAGTACTTAAGTAATAAAAAAACAACTCTAGAGCCAAATGTAAAAGTTAATGTAAATGCAAAAAGAAGAAATAAGCTTTGTTTTGTGACAAATAAGCAAATGGTCATTGTAGGTTTTCAATATAAGTAGAAGTTGTAATATAAAATTTGAAGTGATATCTGATTAGTGATCCACATGGGGCAGAAATCTAATTTAAAGTAATATGATAATGAATCAATATTAATAAAATTCAAAATTTTAATTCAGTTAAATCAAAATGAAAGCATTTCCAGTAGAATTGAGTGTTGTCTAACAAATATAAAAATCAAACATTCTGGTAAAATTTTAATTAAATCACAACTCAAATTTCCAAGACATTTCATATAAAAAACATGGGTAATGTGATTGTTTTCAACTTTTTCAAAATATGTCTGCACCAGGAAATTGTTTTCTTCATGTAACCTCTCTAATTAATATTCTCTAATTAATATTAATATAAGTTGTGTATGTCTGGAGATTTATATTTTTACCATTGACCTTTTACCCGTCTTGGGTATGACGATAAACTACATCCACGTCCTGGGTAAGACGATAAACTATGTCCAACAGCAAGGCTTCTGATCAGGAGGTTTTGCTGAGTATGGAACCACCTCTTAATTGCTGGAGTTCCCAAGTCCACCCTGACCTGGGGTGGTAACACCTGTTAGGGTCCCAACTATGGGTAGATATTTGGGCCCCAAACTGGGGTTAAAACACTTTGTAAGTGTAAAAATAGGTTTTAATACCAGAAATACTTTGTAAAAAAAAAAAAAAAATAATAATAAAAAATTTATTACCAGCAATAAAAATTTTGTTGGTATTAAATAACCCATTGAGGTTGATATGCCGTAAAACAAAACAGTGACTGTTTGCAATTTGGATTTAAATGAATCCTTGAAAAAGGCTTTTATAGGGATTTTTCATGCGGAATCTAATTGTAGATTTTACCAGGCATTTTTTGGCTTTTACTTTTTAAATGTTTTAAGAAAACTACTGTCATCTGCTTCATTCAAACTGATAATTGTGCTTGATAGTTATAGTTCACATTGTTATTTTATTTATTTTTTTATAGCAGGTTCATCTTAAACTGCTTGAAAATTCTGACTTGAAATATGTTTGATGTTATTGTCAAGTACATTTTCTTCAATCAATACTTACAATGCTGAGTTTTTACATTTCTTTGGGAAACACACACACACACACACATATATATATATATATATATATATATATATATATATATATATATATATATATATAGACAAAAAAACTATTTCAGCAGAAATGTAATTAACCAGTGTAACTCCTGAAGAAAACACATTCTAGACAAGCAGTCCTTGCAAATACAGATCTTAGTATCAGGACACAGAGCAATAAAAATTATTAGTAATAAAATTAAAAAGTTCAATTAACTTATATAAATCTATATTCAAGTAATCCAGGGATTTTCTTTTCAATTCTTGACAGATTTTTGGAGGTAATTTTTTCACCCAAAAATCTGCTGAGGCTTGGATGTAAAAAAAATCTATGAACCGAGTACAGATTTATTAAACTTAAGTCAACTATTTTATTACTTATATATATATATATGTGTGTGTGTGTGTGTGTGTGTGTATGTGTGAAAATATATAGAAAAATAGGAAAGGTTAATAATCCGAAGTTCTTTGGTATTTTTGTTTTTATTTTTTAAAAAAAGTGCTTAATATATAAGTAGAGCCTAAATTATAATTATTTTTTTTTTAAATTCCTAGCTTCAATTGAAAAACACTTTCCTACTACCAGCAGACTTAGCAAGATCTTTAATAAAAACAGCTTAAAATTAAGCTACAGTTGCACTGAAAATCTAGAAAGAATCATAAAAAGATATAATAAAATCCTGGAAAAACACGCATGCCAAAATAGTATTAATAAAAACCTTAAACTAAAATTAAACAAAAATAATGAAAAATTATGTGATTGTAGA